AAGACATTTTCGTTTAAAACATTATATTACAATTTATATTGATTAAATCACTTTTCCTACATTTTAAAATCAAAATCCTTGCATCTTATCTTCACTTAAATCTCAAGTAAAAGCATATTTAGCTCCCCTCAATTCAAAATAATAGCTTCACCATTGATTAAAATTAAAATGCATGTAAAATTTAGTTTGGTAAGAACGTATTTTATAAAGAATTATGAATACATTTTAATCTTTAGGCCTGGATTAAGTTCCCACTCCACCACTGAATATTTTTGTCTGTTGTGTATGTTTTTTTTTTTTAGAAATATGTTTACAAGTATTATTCTGTTTGTTCCCGGGTATTACCTTTCCGCATAATCTTGCCGTAACAATAGATTTTTTTTTCTCACGATAAAAATAACCTATACTGTATTATAATATATCCTATATTATACTATATAATAGGTACATACTGTATTATAATAAGTATAGAAAAAGGCAAACTGTCCGAGTCGATTGTTGTCATAAAAATTATTTTTGTATATTGTAATAATGTGTTTATGATAATTAAATATGTCTACACATGGTGGCCGACGTAATGCAATACCTAATAATTATTTATTTAAATTACCGACCGGAGGAAAATTATTTATTTCTTTTTTTTTTACTTATTGACATTTTATTACTTAAAACTTGATTAACTTTTGTATTATAGGTAACCAAGTAGGTACCTATTGTCATTTTTTGAAATGTTTAAAAACGATACGGTACCTAATCGTCATGTTTTCATAATAATTTAAATTTATTATACATCATTACGGTCATTATCTGTCTATTTTATTTAAAATATAACGACGAATAATATCATCATCAGGATAACTGTACATAGTTATTATATTTCTTATCATCTTATCAGGGGTGAAAGTAAGAGAAAACTACGGGTAAAGGGGAGAGGTAGTTGACAATATTAGTTATTATATCATATCTGTGCTGTTGTAATATTTAATACCTATCTAAAGTATGTATTATATTATTATTATTATTTAGTTTATTGTTATTTTTTTTTTTATCAAATATATTATAAAAGAAGCTTTGTGTTACGAGCATGGGGGTTGAACCCCTTATCCCTCTCTTACTTTCATCGCTTTCATCAATCATATTTCCACTTTAAAAACAGTTGAGTAGAAAACAATAATAAAACACGCATGGAGTTGCTCATGACAACTGACAACAAATTAATAACAATTTTATTGTCTCTCGTTACTAGGACCGCCATCTATCCGATATCCAATATTTCGAATCTCTGCGCTGAGATATTTTGGATGCATAACAGAAACACTTGGGTACACGCAGACTTATTTTTTTCTACTAACATTTTCTTTTTGAAAATTTGCTACCTATAACATTTTTATTTCCGTTTCTTTTCAAATTTATATTTCAATATTCGACGGCAACGACTAAAATATTATAATAACATATTTGTTTCTATATACGGTATTTTTTTTCGATTAGATCAAAATATGAAAATTGAAATTCGTTGAAAACAATACCAGCGATGCAATAGTTATGAATATAATTCGGAAATTTTAACATGCAAAATTAATGTAACAATAACTTCATTATATATAACCCATGAAATAAGCACTTAAAAATAATAAAAATAAAACTAGTGAAAAAAATGTTTTTTTCCTTTAACTATCAAAATAAGCAAGAAAAAAAAACTGATATTAGAGATAGGCGTGCTACTGTTACTTTTAGGTGGGAAGTTGGGAAGGTAAGATACATAAAGTTGTTTAACTTATATCTGTAAACAACGATAATCTACTGCTAACGAAAAACGATTCTAAACAGAGTTCAGTTATACATGTTTTAAAGGCCGTAATATTTACGATTTTCGTCAAAATCTGATATTCAAATTCTTATTAAAAAAAATTTTATATTACACTCGATATTTTTTTCCTGTTGACCACTAAGTAAAACTTATAATAAAATTCCCGTTTTACTTTCAAGCATTTCTGTTTGGTCTAACACAGGTCCTAAAATACATTTAATTTCAGGGGACACACTTCTTAATTGAATTGTACCTTTTGAACATCAAGGGAGGGGGTATTTTAAATTTGTTGGTTCCATACCATATTGACACATCAAATAAATGGATGAAATATGTTTATGATCCAATCACACATCCAATTACACATAACTTTCATTTTAGATTCTAAATAGAGCAAAGAAGCTTATAATTTTACAACTGTTTTATCCATAGATAACTTTTCTACCAGCAATTTTGCTCCGGTTTACAATGACAGAACTTTTTCTGAAAGGAAATCTGACTGGGGAGGTACTTTAGGAAAGATTTTTTTTTCAATTTTCCAGCAAATGTGAAAACCGGGAAAAAACACGGGAAAAACATAGGCAAAACGGTAAAATCGGTACAATATTATACAAATATTATTAAAGAAAATATATAATGCCTATTTAATTATTTTACTATAATATGACATATATATTATTGACAAAGCATCACTATCAACTGAATTCCGCTCAGAATAATTTTTTCGTTAGTAATGGTTTATCGTTGCTCACGTACAGAACATACCTAACAGTTGACAAAAAAAAAAGGTTCAGGAGGGGCGATCACTCTCATCGCCCCCTCCCTAAAAACCGCCACTGGAACAAATCGTCAGAGCAATAATAACCATAATAAGCTGTTTAAAATAATTCGAGATTACCTACTTACCTAAAGTACATAGTATATTTATAGACACAAGGTATATTCGTTATATTCACGATTAAAGCTAGTACGTCTTAGTTACATAATATTTATAATCGACAACCATGATAAAAGTTTATGGTTTATTTATATAATATTTATAACAAGGAAGTCGTTAACAATTCATATTGAAATAAGATTCATTTTTGTTGAAATTCTAAATTGATTGTTAATTCTACATTTAAAACTAAAAACAAGTTATAAAACTTGGGCCACACATTTATAATTCAGGGGACACATTATTTTAGGTCTTTACGAAAATGTTTAACTAAATCACAACAAAAAAACAAAATTGAAAATAATAAAAATATTACTTTTGTTAATTTGTCCGTGTTTCCTACGTACTTGACCAACTATTTATAAAAAAAATAAACTTGTGTCTAAAACCAATATGGTAGGTATATTCCTCACTTCACTCGGAATCTAAAAATAGATTTTCTAAATATCCGAATGTGGACTTCAAAACATTCGAAAGTATCGAAGTTATTCTTCAAAATTGGCAAGTATAGAAATTCAAGTTTGAGTGCATAATCGTAATTAGTTTGTGTTTCTGATTCTATCAAATACACTGTTGTTCTATTATTTCGATAATTTAAAATTAATTAAATTATTTGATTTTAGATCTCTTATAAATATTATTTTTTCCAGGTCACTTACTAATTTATTTTAATATTATAAATTGTTGCATGATTTCTATGAAAAATCTCATATCTCTAATCAATTAGAATTATAAAGTTGAGGGAAAACTTTTATTTGATTTTATAAAAAATACTTTGATCGTTTTTATTAATTGAAAAAATTTGGTTAAAATGTACAGATTAGATCAAATTATATTAAATAAAAAAATATTTATAAACATGTTGGTTCTTGATATTGTTGTATTCATCCATGTCGCGAACATATATATTCACCTCAACTCAATGTTCTTCCACTGAGCAATACAAATAAAATTTTTTTTAGTTGTTATTTTCAGTGATACATATTTGTACACCATATTTTTATCTATGAACAACTTATTTACCGGCAATTTTGCTCCGATTTACAATGATAGTAGTTTTTCTGATAGGAAATCTGACTAACTGGGGTAGTTAACTAAAAGAGGCCATTTTTTTTATTTTTTCAGGAGTTTCCCAATAAATAGGAAAAACCGGGAAAAAACGTAAAGAAAACGGAAAAATAGGTACAATATTAAACAAATTTTATTAAAGAAAATATACAATGCATATGTAATTATTTTACCATAATATGATACATATACTATTGACAAAGCAACACTATTTACCGAACTCCGTTCAGAATCGTTTTTCGTTATCAATGGTTAATCTTTGAATACAGACAAACATTAAATTTCCCTTTTACCTTCTTAACTTCTTAGCTACAACAGTGGCCGACCCTCGTGCGAAATATCTCTGTCTTTTTTTTCTTAAATAGCAACTTCTTTTTTTAATCAGTACCTATATTTATTTATTTTTTCTTCATAAATTTTATTGATTAAACCACTTTTCTAAGTTGTTAAAATATGATGCCATTAAGTTATGTTTATCTTAATGACAGTAAGTTTATTAAAATGCCCGACAAAATACAATAATTAGTAGATAATAATGAAATCCAAGTTATTTATGTTCTTATCACAATATCACTTAATATTTTCAAAAATATTATGAAATCAACATAATGAATAGATTTAAATTGCCGTATTTCAACTAATTTTGAACTTAGAAATGTGGTTTGACCATTAAACCTCATGAAAAAATATCAAAAAGAAAAAAATAAACAAGATTAAAATAGGGGTTTCTTATTTAAGAAAAAAAAGTTGTATTTGACATGCATATTTCACATATATCTAATCAACAGTAAAAAATTTGAAGTGCGTAAAAAAATGTACTACTAAACAAAAACTAAACAAATTCATAAGCATAAATTCATTTGTTTTCAATAAGCGTTTCCACACTGAATAAAATTGGATATTTTAGCTCAAAAATATCAACTTACCCTAAAAATACGTTAAGACTTAAAATTTCCAGGAAAAAATTACTATTTTTTTGAAGTTGTTATACTACGAGTGTTTGTTTGTAACGGCGTTTATAAATTATAACGAATTTCAAAATTGATTACAATAAGACCCACAATTATACTAATATTTTATGATTATAGTATTATATTTCATTAATGGTTTATAAAAATCATTATAATATTATTATTGTTATTATAAAGTCAACGGCGAACGTACTTATATATATAAAAGTATACTTCAGTCGAGTTCAGTTTTGCAATTCCTCGCAAAATTGCCTTTTTTTCTTTGTCCGTCCCAACGATCTATCCAAGAATTCGGGCACATTCGCTGGTACGTTTTTTTAAATATTTCGCAATCCGGTTCGTCTTTACCTAATACATGTTGACAACGGTGGTAATCGACGTAATGGGTGTAGCAGTAACGGGTAGCGTTGGCGTTTTGAAATCTCGGGTCTCTAAACGTACAGTCACGCGACGGCATCACATCCATCGGATCTGCACTTGTGTTCGGCTCGGTGGCCCGCTCTTCGGGGGTGTCTGACATTTTGTTTTGCTATTCTATTATTCACTAAAAGGCAAGTAGGTATACAAGAGAGAACGTTTGCAAATGTTTTTTCAGTAAAGAGATTGCAATGGAATGAATCTCCGAGTGGTCAAAATCAACTGAGAAAATATACCTAGATATTACACAAAAGTGTTATTGATTTCAACCAACAACATAAATTACAACATAATTACCTGTACTAGTGGCCAAAGACTTTTTTTCACCATGTATAATAACATAATAATACGTGGTTAATAATAATTAATAAGTGTAATTCGGTGCAACAATCAGGTGAATCAGATCGATAATTATTATTATATAACACATATCAATATAAGTATTATAGTAACAATTAAAACATACAATCAGCGTATGTAATATACTCGAGAACAATTTTAATAAATCCAATCTGGTTGTTCCTCCGGGGTCTTCAATTTCCAGAAGAAAAAAAAACCCGAGGTTTTGAAAAACTATTTCAAGTCAGCTATAATATTTTTCAAACTTTCATCATAGGTTAGTTTGAACGATAACATGTTAAAAAGTACGCGTTTCAGCGCCCTAATTTATAATATATTTTTCATCAAATGTACGACCCTGTTTTTATTGTGATTTTTGTACAATAGGTACCTTCACTTTATACTTGTATTATACACCAGGTATGGTGTTTACGTGTATTGTAATATTTTTAAACACGAAGTTATTAAATACAGCACACTCGTGGAGGGGAGTTGATGTTAAACTTCAATGTAATAGATAATTTCTTTTTTTTTATATATAAATTAATATTTTTATCTAATAATACGTGATATTCATTGTTGAAAACACAATAATCTATAGGCGAATTTTGGCAAATAACCAAATATAACCGGGTTAATGTATTTTATATACAAGTCGTTTTGCCGGTTGTGGTTATAGGTTATACTGAAATATCATAACCAAACAAAATGAGCTTAAAAATGTATTCGAGCGACAACATTTTATGAAATGTTAAAATTAAAGGCAAGACAAATAATAAGACTAATTTAAACTGCTTGTAAAATTAAAAAATGACTTTCTTACTGACCAACAAGATCCAATAATTTATCACTGCATACACAGTATATAAACTAAATTATCTACCTTTATATATATTCTAACATCCACTAACTACACTTTCTAACTACCACAAACCTAAAAGAGCGGCCTATCTATGGTGCGAAAAATATGCTCATTTTTGATATTATATCGTGTTAACGATTAACATGACCATAATACTATAATATAATTATGAATAATTTCAATATATTTTCGTCAACGGTGCGGAAGTCCTGCAACACTTTGTTCGGGACAAATTATTATTAACATCATTATAACGATATTATATGTATTTTCGCTTCAAAGCCTACAATTCGGGGTAAACAAAATAAGTACTATTTTATTCACTGTGCATAGATAAATAATAATAATAATAAATGCATTATTAGATTCATGTACTAAAACTGATTTCCATATTATCGATATCCATATACAAAGATTAATTACAATAGTTTGACACGGTGAACTGATTCAATTAAGTTTTCTAATTAAAATATTTTAAACTGTCCCCAGCAAACCCCCGTTAGTATTGTGCCACTGCATATGAATAACTTACAAATAAAAAAGTTTTTGGCCTAAAACGGTTTTTAAATAATCATTTTACTTCTACGTTTTGTATGATTAAATATTAGAATACGTTATTAGTATACGGCAACGATTTTATTAGTTGTACAATGATGTTTATTTTTTTTTGTTATCTGTGAACACATTTTCTACCAACAATTTTGATCCGATTTTCAATTATAGCACTTTTTCTGAAAGAAAATCTGACTGGGGTAATACTTTAAAAAAATCATTTTTTGATTTTTCTATCAGTTTTCATAATAAATAGGAAAAACCAGAAAAAACGTGAAAAAAACTTAGGAAAATCGGGAAAATAGGTACAATATTAAACAAATATTATTTAAAAATATATATTATGGATAATGCCTACGTAATTATTAACAAAAATTATTTTACCATAATATGACAAATATATTGTTGACAAAGCAACACTATTAACCGAACTCCGAATCGTTTTCCGTTAGCAATAGTTTTTCGTTGCGTACATATATACATTAAATTTCTCCTCTACCTTCCCAACTTCTCACCTACAATAGTGGCCCGCCCATCATGCGAATTATGTCCGTACCTGTTTTATATTTAATATTTATAAATGTATGGAAAAAAATAACAATGAAATTAAAACCTGTAATAGAATATGAATCAGTCTGCGTGTAGTATAATATCATAATAATGTGTTCAATGGTTCGCAAAAAAACAGTGAGAATTTTTAGCGGAAACGCTGCATTTGAGAGCGCACGTTGCGTGCAACATTATTCTGTAATAAATTAACGGAAACTAACAGTAGGCAGTTTTTATTTTGTATAATATAAATATTTATATTTGTTTATCTGGCATATTTACTGGGAAGAAGGGGGAACAATGAAAATGAGCGGAGTTCGGTTGATGTTACTTTATCAACAATATATAATATGTCATATTATGGTAAAATAATTACACATGCATTATATATTTTCTTAAATAACTTTTGTTTAATATTGTACCTGTTTTCCGTTTTTCCTAGTTTTTCCCATTTGTTGAGAAAACTCCTGGGAAAATCAATTTCTCTCTATTTTGTGAATTGTACTTAGATTTATTATAAAGAAGAACGATTACAACAACACAATTCAAAGTACCGAAGGAAACGTCACTAGGCTTAGGGCTACTATATAATATCCCAGATGTATAAAAAAATAGTTCTTATATGGATACAATAATTACACACGTTACAATAAAGAGGAAGCCATACTCGCATCTACTGTCTCAGTCCGAACAACTACCGAACAACATACAAAAGCAATACTTAAGTCGACTATGTAAAAATAATTTAATTTTGATAAAAATTTTGAACAAAAGTACCATTTATGAAATTTAATGAGAACAATATTTTGGAGAGAATTTTAAAGGAGTTTTTTGAGTTATGAACCATTAAAAAAAATTATTTATTTAAAAACTAAAAAAAAAAAAAGTTTTGCGCCCTTTATATTAGTCAAGCTGTATATTTAGAACAACATAAAAACCTTATAAGGTTCGTTCCAAAATATTCCTCTCCAATTTCATAGTGGGTACTTTTATTCTAAATTCAAAATTAAGCTGGTTTTATTTAATCTAGATAAGCATTATTTTTGCACGTTGCCCGCTATTTGGACTAAGACAATAAATACGAGTGTGTCGTCTTCTTAATGTAGATTTATTATGATATGATTACATCGATTAGAAGATATTTATACAATAATTAAAATGTAGTTTATATATAGATATTATAGGTATAATATATAATCATATATCAGTTATTATTATTATTGAATAAAATTGATGCTTTTCTTATTTAATCCACTATTGTAGGTGGGATATACACGATAATTTAGTTTATATACTGTATGCGATAATAAATTATTGTGAACCTAAAAACTATTATGAAGAGTAGATTTAGTTATATTTTATTATTCTGTAGTTAACATAACCCAGATTAGTATAATTTGGAACTTTCATACAAATCAATTTTGCCGAGAAAAACACATAATAATAATAGAAGAATAACAAAACATTCAGAATCTAAAATAGATATTACAAAAAGAGTTAAATCATTTTGTTGTTGATTTTTTTTTTTTTTTAATATATTTTTTGTTAGAAATATACTATAATATTATGTTGTTCTAAGATATGTTTTTATTTCCTTTAGATTTTTTATACAGCTAACATTATTATTATTTATTATAAAACATATAATGAAAATTAGGGCGTTTCGAGTAGGCAACATCTTATACATTCTTGATGTTATAGTCGTAGAAGACAAATAAATTATTAGATTGGGCTTTCGGTTAACTTGTTTTAAACGAAAAATAATAATATTTGCTACTACTCATAATCAGACTCTATATGTGTGTGTGTGTGTGTGTTTTTTTTTTATTGAAGCATAAACGTCATTTCATTATTTATTATTTGTCAAATTATTAAGTTGATCAAATTTAATCTCAAAAAATAAATAACGCATGATTATTTTTCATAAATGAACACACGAATTTAACCGAAATTCAAGAGCATGAATAGTTTTATTCCAGAAATGTATCAAAAATCTATTAGACTAGTTTTTCACATTACCAAATATTTATGCTATCGAAATGTGAATGCAATCAACTAGCGAATAGTTCAAATACTTGATTGTGTCCATCACTAGTTTTTATCAGAGCCTAAAAATTATGTGCGATAGTAAATATAAAATGTGCAGTAATGAGCAGTTCATCATGATTAGTATACAACTTTAATATACCTTAGGCTACTTAATATATCTATAATGGCACCGGTAGCATTAAAGGTGACTTTATCATTCACTTTGTTATTACGAGTCGGATTATGAAATGTGGTAGAATAGATTTGGTTGTTATCAGTAGGGTTAGAAATATAATACTCTATAAACCCTAAAAAAAATAAATACATTTGTCTTAAAAATATTAAATAATGCACTAGAAATGTGTTTATTTTTGATATAAATTTAAACGAAATACGACGATAATACTTATTTTCTTCTTCTTCTTCTTCGGCTTTTTATACGCTGAAAGGTCCATTGCCACAACCTCATATTGCTTTCATTCTTCCCTATTTTTTGAAGTTTATTTTGGGCTCCTTAATCCCGATATCCTCAGATCTTCTTTTATTCTGTCTGTCCATCTTTATCTGGATCACCCTTTAGGTCTCTTTGTGTTTGATCCCACGTTGTTGTTTGTCCAATTAGTCTTTCTGATCTTCATACATGTTCCGTACAACTCATTCGCGTAATTATCAAGGTTCCAATAATGCTGGGTTCGTTATATATTTCTTTCAAATTTTAGATTCTGAGTGAATCAAAAAATCTTTGGTTTTACAAAGATTTTTATTTTTTTTCTGAGGACAACTATTCTATCAGAGAATTTGCTCCGATTTTTACGTATAGCACCTTTTCTGAAAGGAAATCGGTGTGGACAGGTACTTAAAGGAAGTCATTATTCGATTTTCTCAAGTGTTTTCTCATCAAATGTGAAAAACCAAAAAAAAAATGAGGAAAACGAGAAAATGTACAAAATATATAAGTAAAATAATACGATTTTTTTTTTTTTTTTGTGGACAACTTGTTTACAATCAATTTCGCTCCAAATTATAATGATAGCAATATTTCTAAAAAGAAATTTGACTGGGGAGGTAGTTTAAAGGGGTCATTTTTCGATTTTCTCAGGAGATTTTCTAGCGAATAGGAAAAACCAAAAAGAAGAAACATGGAAAAACTGGGAAAAACGGAAAATCATTAAATATTAAAGCATCACTATCATCTGAATTCTGCTCAGAATCGTTTTTCGTTAATAATGGTTTATCGTTGCTTATAAATCTTGTTTTACATCAATGTCTATTATCATTTATCTTATAAAAAAATAATAATTTAATTGTGAATATAGATAACTCGATGATAAGTATACCTTTGTTATTATATTGTGAATTTGATTAAATAACGGTAAAATTACAAAATTGTATTAAATTATTAAACTACTTATTAGATTATTAAATTAAAAATGAAAAAGCAGTAAAATGCCTTTCGTTCTCTTTTTCAAAAAATTGTGTATTAGAATTGTAGAATTGTATAGTTCTGAGGTAGAAAGTTTTGACAAATTATTATTTAAAATAAAACTATGGAAGTGTAGATTAATCAAATGTGAAAAGGTTCCGAAATCTGGTCTTCAAACACTCATGATTTGTAATGAACAAATTTATCTAAATAAATTGTTGCTCTTGTCAATTTGTGGTCAATGGTTTTGAAAATAAATGAGAAAAGTGACTAAAATTTACAATCACCTAAGTGACTAAAAAGTGACTAAACAGTGACTTCCATACAAAAATAAGTGACTAACATTAACAAAAATACAATTATTTAACAATAATAGTAGTAGTTATAGGTAATAATTATAATATTATGATAGATTAGGATTGGTATAATGGTACGATAGGTTAACAACCAGGCTTTATTAAAGAATTTAGTGATAATTTAAAGATAAATAACAACTTTAATTACCTATAACTAAAATAATTATTTAAAAATATACTAGTCTTTGGTAGTATTCGGTTAAACTTATATAACTTGTATATTTCTTTTTCATCACATAGCAAATTAAAAAATATAAGGTACCAAGATTTCGTAATAAATATCAATATAATATTTTTTATAAAATTGTATGAAAATACTTAAAAAGCTCGTCAAAAAGTTATTAAAATAAAAAAAAACTGACTTTAAATGAGAAAAGTGACTAACTTCCAACTCTGTGACACGAGGGCTTTACAACTGGGTCCACCACTTTTTATCCTCGTGAATACTCGCCTTCAGTTCGAGTGTATATGTATACGAGGTGTGGCTATTTAAAAACGGGATTTTTGTTATAAAAATAATTTATTTGTAAACACAATTATTAAATGTGATCCCCTTCTATATACTCCCCAACCATTTTGGCACAGACTTTGTTCATGTTTAAATTGTTGTGTAAAATTTGTCGAACTGTTTCTTTGTCTATATTTATCATATCTCCAATTATACGAATACTAAAACGACGATCATTTCGGACAATTTTGTCGACGTTCTCATCACTTTTTGATGTGCAAAGGCGACCAGGATGCTCGTCGTCTTCCACTTCTTCTCGCCCATCTTTAAATCTTTTACGCCATTCAAAAACTCGAGTACGTGACATCGTGTCCTTCCTGTACACCTCAGTCAACATCTTTAGACATTCTGTGGGCGATTTTTTTAATTTAACGAGAAATTTTAAATTAACACGCTGTTCGATTTTTAAATTGGGTATTATTCCGGCAGTTTCGTACGATATTGTTCACTTTAAACAACGCGTGAATGCGAACTAATTGACCAAAAAGGATAAAACTGATATTATTTGATGCGTTGGCTTGTGCAGATAATAACTACGATATAATTACCCACCAGAGTTCATTGCACTCTAATCAGAAGAAAATCCCGTTTTTAAATAGCCACACCTCGTATATGGATATAGGTATCTACATATAGAGTTAGACCTATTATGGATTTATAGGGTTTTAATTCTCTTAGAACGACCGAACGACCGTTGAAATCGTCTTCTAGTATGTTCGATCCACGGGCTTATAAGTTCAAGGATCAATAATAATCCAATACTATACTACCTTTATTAAATGTTTATTTACTTCTTTAAAACTTTACTTTCCTAACATCACTGAACAAACGTCGACAGAAGGTGCCTTCCGTCAGATAATAGTATTGTACCATTCCACCAGGACCGGTTCACTACAAATTTAAGTAATTGCCAGATATTATATTAAGTTCATAAAGCACTGGCGATCCTTGACAAATTCCAAAAGGGGGGGAGAGGGGCGAAATATTTTTCACATCAAATACAATTCTTAAAAATAGTAATCATAAAAAAAAGTTTGTTAAATTTAAAACTTTATTTTATGTAATATTACAAAATAAAAGTCCTTTTTCGGTTTTTTTGATTTGGAAATCGGTCTTTAATATTTTAGTTCGTGGTGCATGCCGTCTCCCGGTCTCCGCACACCACATTATCATGGCCATATCACAGAATAGGTGAAACCTAGTGTTGCTAAAAAATATTAAAATCATTGATTTTTTTGCTTTGTTACCACAGTTATTATTAACTATAAAATAATGTAAAACATAGATATATTATCAGGTTTTTTTTTGTAATATAATATAGTATAAGGGGGGGAGACGATTCACCTATCGCTCCCCCCATTTTTTTTTTTTTTGTGTATATAGGAAAAATGATATGTGCAGTAGAAAGTTTCATAATTTCATTTTAGACACGCTGGGTTTTACGTCTAATTCTGATAACAAACGTATAGTGTAGCGCTCGTATACTGTGTATATAATACATAATATTATAATATAGTAGGTGAAAAGTCGAAAAAAAAAAACGATTTTGCATTCGTCGCAGCTTCATTACATGCAGGTTGTTTTAAAAATTTTACAGCACATCGATGACATGAAAATAAAATATAATACAGTATGCGGTGTACCTATACAAATATAAAATGCACATGGAAGAATGAAGGATCAAAAATATAATATAATAGATCACGTATACGACCTGAAATTTGGATTTTTTTAAACATAATAATACATTTGTAACTTTCTAAGTTTAAACGATTTTTTATTTTCTATTGTTTTTTTAACACAATACCAATAATGGTTTAAAAAGTGTTTATCTGCTATATTATATAGTAAAAAAAAAACACATTTCAGCGCACGCTATAAGTACTTACTACGACTATTTACACATTTTCGTTTAATATTTAGTGTAGATTATTGTTTTTAATGAAAATATGCCTTGTGTAGTAAATGACATGAAAAGTACGCGATTGATAAGTTCGGACTTTTCCGCACGCCTATCGCGCGAATTTATTTTATTTTTCGACGGTAATTTTGATATTTTCATGAGAAAATTTTACCAAACACGTTCACTAGAAATATTTTTCTAATTATACGAAAAAATAAAAAAAACTTCTCAAGGGTATGCCTATTGGCGCGAATAGGGGGTGCACAGAGTACTTGTGCACCCCCAAAATGTGAAAACCATTTTCTACTGCAGTTTGATTGTTTTGATTTTGAAGTAAATATTATCGATATTAAATATCGAAGGGATATAACAAATAGTTTAAAAAAATGTATACATTTTAAATATATTATGTAATTTGCATTCAAGAAAATTTATGTTGAAATAGTTGTAATAAACTTTTTTGTTAGTCTGGAATTTGTGTTGCCTATATTAAAACAAAGTACATACATAATATTTGCAATTTTTTTATCATAAATATAGTGCAATATAAAGTGGGTCGGAGATGTGGGGACAAAGCTCCTACGGATCTGTAAGGTTTTTACTATTTGTGTATCCCCAAAAATATTGCGTCTATGGGTATACTACTGTTTGAAGTTATTATTAATTAATATTAAAACACGAAAACTGACGATAAATCATTTCAATTAAAAAAAAAACTATTCTAAGCAGAGTCCGGTAAACTGGTAAGGCTAGATACAACTATAACATTGATAAAATGTGATCTACATAGTTATGTGTATACAGTGAATCGAAAAGAAATTGATATAATATTTTAGGATAATACAAAAAAAATTATAGGTAAGTAAGTACTATAAGAAGATTTTGAAAGACATTTTCAACCTTTAGCAGTATAAAAACCTATTTAGGCCGTATTTTCTGACAGATTTTTACTAGTTTTATGAGCTATAACGGAAATAAGTACACACAATGTAATCTACTATAGATACAGATACAGTGTTCCACCATGTTCGCCTATTTTTTTAATTAATTTTTTTCAATCTGATTTTCTTTGGATGATCTATTTAGAGAAAAATTCGATTTTTATTTTGATTCTATAATTTCTAAAATAAAGAACATTTTATTTATTCACTTAACAAAATTTTTAAAATAGTCATTTTGTAAATTATAACATTCTAAAAATGTTGATGGATCATACATCCATATCTGATCAATAGTTTCTTACTAACAGCCGTTTTTATTTCTAGAGGAAAGGTGTTAAAAACAGCGTTACCCGATTATTTGCGTAATGCAATAGGAAATAACTTGATTTATTGTGTTATAAATCGAAAATGTTAAAAATTAAAAAGACTATTACTAAAAAAAGACGGACATACTTCGCACGATGGGTGCAGCACTGTTGTTGATGAGAAGTTGGGAATGTAGGATATAAAGAGGAAATTAATTTGTATCTGTAAGTAACGATAAACCATTGTTAACGAAAAAACGATTCTGAGCAGAGTTCAGTTGATAGTGATGCTTTGTCAACAATAAGTATTTCATATTATGATACAATAATTAAATAGGTATTATATATTTTCTTTAATAATATTTGTTTAATATCGTACTGATTTTACTGGTTTTTCTACGTTTTTTTCCAGTTTTTCAAATTTCCTGGAAAAACTGCAATTTTCATCAAAATTCGATATTCAAATTCATTTATAAAAAACATTAAACTCAAATTTGTTTTCTAAACACAAAATAATGAACCTGTTAAATTTGCAAGCATTTCTCTTAAGTCTAACAATTTTACTACAGAGTATCTACCGAATAAACATTACGTACAAAACTCACAAAATTAAAATGTCTAAATGGCCCAAAAATGGCTTAAATTTTTTGAAAACTTTACCACATTTAGAAAAGGTAAATATAAATTTTTGTCCAAATTTCAAGTCTCTAAATATATTTTTAATTGAATTATAACAGATTACAATAATGAAAAATAATAAAACTTTATTATTTTCGTAAATTTTTGTTTTTTCCTTACGTTTTATCGCGGTTTTTCCCAAATATCATGAAAACCGCTTGGAAAATCAAAAAATGACCTCCTAAAAGTACCATCTGGACAATATTTCCTTTTAGAAATGGTACTGCGCGTAAATATCAAAGCAAGATTCCTGTTAGAATTTTTGTATACACAATATAAAAAAATAAACATCTTTTACAACCAATACATTCTTTGCTACACTCAGAATCTAAAACTATACATTGGATATGATTATATGTGTGATACATTAACATTTTTAGAATAATATCCTCTAAAATTGCTATTTTGAAAATTTACGGTTAAATGAATACATAAAAAGTTATTTAACGATTAGGGGATAAAAATTAAAATTAAATTTTTCTCATAAAATATAAGTCCTATTAAAAAAAAAAAACAAAAACAAAAAATATTAACGAATATTAATTGTAATTGAATATTAACGGCTTTAGACAAATCCGTCCAACTGGTTGGGACAACCTGTCCATAAATTATGTACGTAGTAATCAATGTAGATAGGTACCTAAAATACACGGTCATAATCATGCTGATAACGACCTGTATGATTAGGTATTACCCGTCGTAATAACAATTATTATTACCTACGTTGAACGAATTTAAATATTTTTGTACGTCCGTTATTAGTAGGTACCTACAACATAATAATATGAATTCGTAGAAAAAAAAACCAGTAAAAAAATCACGGAACAAACGTTTTAATAACAGACCTATCAATATAATATTGGGAATGTCGGTTATATTAATTTTCGACTGCGTACCAGGGAATACATTTTTTCAAAAAGACACTCGAAGTTCGAAAATACGGATATTTGGCGTGGGTACATTTTACTGTGGCTAGTTGGGTAAGTGCTAAAGTGTTTATTTTACCCGTTTATCGTACACACATAAATGATTAATTACCTCGGAATATTAATGACGCGTTTACTCACCCAATTTGTTCTTGTAGACGGACGGTCCGTGCGCGGGATTCGCGGGAAACGGCATCGTGGCGGAAAAGGGTCGACGGAGCACGAGTGACGACGGTCCCGTGACCGGTAACGACGTCGTGGCGGACGACGGATCGCGATCTCGACGACGACGTGCACGGGGTGCAGTGACCGAAAGGATTCCCATTCGCGCGGCGCGCGTGCACCGCGACGGCGTAATCCTACACCCGCGGTGTCGCTTTTCACCGCTCCGGAGGCCACGCCGCCGACCGTCAATCGGCGTGCGCGCGCGACCCGTCCGGCTATCTGTGCGGTGCGAACACCGCGACTGCGGGAGGTGGTGGGAGGGCGGCAAATCACGGACGCGAATTATTCGCGATTACTCTTGGCGCCGCGATAGTAATTTCATCTAAACCCGAACGGCCGGTTGTAGTGGGTTACCGCGCGCGGACGGAAACATCGTCAGTGGTTATAACCGCGACGTGCAACGGCGCAAACAACACTAACCACTATAAAATCGTACTACGAATAATTACATTACATACAATATAATAAAATCGTAGTAGGTAGGTAGGTACACACGGCGGTGACGGCGACGTGTTTTTTGTTTATTTTTTTTTCATTCCTTAATGGAGCATTTCCGTGACTAATGGATTTCCGAAACCGATTTATATATTATACCCAATACCTAATATAATAATAACACTGTTATTATTATTGTTAGATGTTGCTATTATATTATTCCGTACCGGTGACGATGACTCCAGTGAAGGAGGGGAACGGATTTCCGTTGCGTAATAGTATAATATGTTACCCCCACCCCACCCCTTTATATGGCCTAACACGTACGACGTCCGCAAATCGTAACATTATAATATTATTATTATTATTATTATTATTTTGATTGTTGACAATAAATTTAACTATAATCTATATACAGAGTGCGTTTTTTATCATGAACCAGCAATTATCTCGGAGTTTTTTTTTAAATTAATTGGATTAGTGTTTTTTCTAATCATTGAGGAATCATTTAAGCTTTATTTTAAAACCATTTTAAATTTTTTACCCTTACTCCATGTACCTTAAATAAGTACACGCTTTTAGGAACCCCCCTTTTTAGTAGAGAAGGATTAGATATAGGTAATTTATTACCCTTCCCTACTCATCCGATCTAAACTTTAAACTGTTATAACTCATAAACGGCAAATCTGATAATTATTACTTATAATGAACCTCTTTTTAATACCTCCAAGTATTTCTATTTGGTAAAACAATTTTATCTACAAAGTAGGTACCATTCGAATAAAAATTACATACAAAACTCGCAATATTAAAATTTCTATAAATGATAGTTCAAAAATAGCTAAAATGTTTTGAAAATTTTACAACGTCTAGAAAAGGTAAATTTAAGTGTTCTGTCCCTATTTTAAGTTTCTACGAATATCTTTAACTGAATCACAGAAAAAAAAAATTAAAATAAAACATAAACCGTGAAATCACATTGGCAGTGGTGCCCAGTCTATATGCACGGTTTTGCGATCGTTATATCTCAAACAATTTTATAGGGGATGGATACCAAGAGTCAAGATAGAGTAAATTAATAATAAGTAGAATAGGTAAGGTATAGAAATATATTGTATTATATACATTATAAAGCCCCCCCCTAAGATTTTAGATAGGTACTTAAAATATTTTAAAGATTATACGTGAGAAATGCGTACAAATCTACATGCGCAACGAATAAGGCAGTAACTCACTTTTACACCTTTTTTTTGCTATACTCAAAATCCATTGGTTTTACAAAAATGTGTTTATTTATTTTTTTATGTGAACAATTTTTCTACCAGAAAGCTTACTCCGATGTATACGATGTACACCCCTTTTCTAAAAGGAAATTTTCTTGGGGTGGTACTTTAGAGAAGTCAATTTTTGATTTTCCCAGAAGTTTTCTCAACAAATGTGAAAAACAGAGGAAAAATTAAAAACTGTACAAAATATAGGCATTAATTAAAAAATATTTCGGCTTTTTTTTCTTGTGAACATCTTTTCTGCAATAAATTTTGCTCCAATTTACAATGATAGCACTTTTTCTAAAAGGATATCTGACTGAAGTGGTACTGTACCACCCCAATCAGTACCCTAAAGGAAAATCATTTTTCGATTTTCTCAAAAGTAAAAAAAACCAATAAATGTGAAAAACCGGGAAAAAACATGGGAAAATCGGTACAACATTAAACAACATCATTGAAGAAAATATATAAAGTCTATTTAATTATTTTACTATAATATGACATTATATTATATAGTGTTGACGAAATAACATTATCAACCGAACTCCGCTCATAATCGTTTTTCGTTAGCAATGGTTTATCGTTGCTTACAGGTATATATTAAATTACCTATAAAAGTGACTGCACCCGTCCCCATTATCCTAAGACTTTTTTTTTTTAAATGTGAATATCTTTTAGTAATGGGAAAAATTAACAAAAACAATGAGTCATATTAAATGAAAATATATATTATTGGTAAATATATTTAAATGGTTAATCACTCAGTGACGTGTTTATATTTTATTAAGCCTATTTTTTTCCGTGAGATTTATCCTGACCCCTCTCTCCTTAATGCATATGTTACTAGCTACCTATAAAAATAATTATTGCATTCAATATTTTTATTTGAACGTATGAAAACAAATCTTATTTTATAAATATTATTATTTATTTTATATTTGTGATAACAATAATATTTATATACTTCGTATATCTTTATGGCTGTACCTGCCTATAATATGTTTCATCCTACATAAATAATAATATTGCTTAACAATATAAAGTACCTGCTTACTTGATACCAAATTAATTTACCTACTCAACTTGTATTTGAAAATATAACATTATTATTCTTATATGTGAAACTAAATATCGCGTTACCTATAACTTTTTTAATTGACAAATATTTATTTAAAATCAGATTAGAAACAACATAGTTTAATTAATTAATTAATTAATCAATTTGATTTTAAACTTGTTTTACTATTATTATTATTTATTTATCCAAAATGTTTAATACACACACATTACATATAAGTATATCCACTCCTCTAAACCTAAACTTGAATTGGAGAAAAAAATTATCTTTTGAGTTATATAATATGAAAAGTATTTTGGAAACAAAGATTGAATGTATATATTTTAATATTAAGTATAATAGAATTAAATTGATAGTATAAAGTACAGAAACAAATAGAAATAAATTTACTTCTTACATCTACTAGTTAATTAATAATTTTATAAACATTATAAAATGACAACACCAAATGTAAACTTTTTTTTAAGATATGTATTAACAATTTTGAAAATACTTATAACTAATTTTTCTCATTCACTTAGTTGGTATTTGATTAAAATAGTTTAAATCTAAATAATTAAATAGTTGTTCTAATAGATTTCATATATCTTACAGTTATATAATAAGGTTTAAATTCTCTTAAGTGAGTAAAACGTTTTGATTAATTTTAATTTTAATATATTTTTATATTTTTAATTATATTACATTTTGTTTGTATAACTTGTTATCAGAGCACCCAAAATGTATATTTGTGTTTTGTTGATCCTTCAAAAAATTTTTTTTAGTTAAAAATTAGTTTCTTAATTACCTATTTATCCGAAGAGCTTTAAAAAATTATCTTTTACATTACCCCAGACCAGGAGACCATACTGAAAAATAAATTGATAAAACACAAAATAGCCAATTATACATTATGTAGCTTGGACTGATTACAAATATCTTAGTTTATCATGTGTAAATGTATGAAACATATTAGTTTCCCAACTAAATTATTAATACTCAGGTTCCATTTAAAATTGATATCAAATATAATTCCAAAAATACAAACTTTTTATATTTTTTTGATGTGGTGGAAAATGTGCAGATTATTACTGAAATATTTATAACAATAATTGTGAATTAATAATAGGCAATTATAGTTTATAATGAAATTAAGAAGTCTCTAAATCAGGGGTATACAACCTGACCCTGTCTAAACATTATTTGATCCTCCTCTCCACCCGAAAAAATTTTAAACACTGCATGATTTTTTTCTGTCTTTATCAAGTTAGAAGAGTTCAAGACATTATTATTATCAAAAAGAATTGAAATGCTTAATTTAAGTCTTATCCCATAGGACCTATGGGATAAAATAAATTAAATTTATTAGCATATTTTTCACAAACTTTAAATAAAACCCAAAATTTGGTTTACTGATGCTCACCTAGAATACTTACTGAGGATTAATTACATAATCTTGAATACAACAAAAAACATATACAAATTGGTTAAGAAAAAAGTGTAAAATATTTCACTAAAAAATAATTTATTTATAATTTTAAATTTAATATTATATCTTATAATAATACAAATTGCATTTTTGTATAAAATAAATGTATAATTAGGAATGTGGCCCACAACATTTTTTTTTGAAAATTATAGGTTAAAAACCCCTGTTCTAAATTTTAATTTAATTATTGGGAATAAAATGTTGGACAAATGTTCAATTAAAACGAACTGCAAACTTCTAAATAGAACTTAAAATTAAAACACTTAATATTATATTGAGTAAAATAAAAAAAAAATTATATTAGGATATACTTAGATATTTTATTAATAATAATAAGAAAAATATTAATACTGTTGAACAGAAATTTGAAATAAATTACAAACTTTTCAATAAGTGTCCATAGCCCAAAAATTTGATGATAAAATGCAATCAATTTCCATTTCAAAATGTTCATAATCCAAGTATTTTAATGGAAGTTGTAAAATACAAGAACATGTATGAGCTATAGGAGCATAATGATTATACCACTTAGGTTCTGAAAATCTAACAATAATATGGTTTCCAGTAATCAAGTCAGCGCCTGTACAAAATCTTAAAAATTTAATCCGCAAGTCATCAGTAGTTGTTAAGATAAACCTAGAAAGAGATAAAAAAAATTATGTAGTATAAAATAATATTAGATAAGTAAAAAAGTAGCTGTTACTGATAAAAGGTGTACAATTGTTGTAGGCAAGAAGTTGAAAAGATATATAGAGTATAATTTATAAAAATTATTCTGAGCAAAGTTTTTGAGGTTAATGCTCTGTTTTTTGTTAAAATTTGAACTTGATTAAGTTTTATAAGACTATCAACTATCTTACTCTCAATGTATGCCCCCCCCCCAGTACATCTATTTTACTTTTTATTTTATTTTACTTAAATCGAAAAATTGTATGAAAAATATAGTGATTTTTATTATTTCTATTTAAATTTAAATATTACTGAATTTCACTTAACTTTTTTATTTTTGACCCCAAACTACAACTTAATATGAACCCATGTTCAATTTTCAAGTATTTCTGCTTAGTCAAAATAATTTTATCCAAATAAAACCAAATAATAAAGAAAATACTCAAAAATTTCAATTCTTAAAAAAATTTAACAGTGTCTAGAAAGCCTAAAATAAGTATTCTGTAAAAATTTCATATTTCTACTTTGTTTTTAAAACCAAAATAGGTACAACAAAAAAACAAAATTAAAATCAATGGAACCGTTATTGCAAAGATTAGCCAGATTTTCACAGATAAGAATTTTAATAACTATTTTTCAGCTGGGGTTTTTATTGTTTATTTAATATTTTTATTACTATTATTATTATTCTAACTAAATATTTATAAGAATTTTTTTTTTTATATTTCATATTTGTATAAATCACTTAATGCTTTTTGGGTTTCAGCCTGTACTGTTGTAAAACAAATAATTAAATAAATATTGAAAATATTTGTTAAAAAAATAAAAAGTTACCTTTTGAGAAATCCATAAGTCATTATTTCATATTTTGTGCAATCAGAGTATTCGCAAATCAACATGCTCATAATGTTTTTAGTAGTTGGCTCCATTGATTTATATAGTTCATACAACTTTTCTTTTGTTAAAATGCCAGACAAATTTTTGCCAAGGTTATTCAATTCAGTTTGAAATTGTTTAATAATAAAATATGGCTTTTGTATCAATGCCATGTGTGCGATTTCTTGGAGAACTACTTTCAGATTGTTTGCATTGGGAATTACATGGCATTCAAGATTGCCCAAAACTGTAATTAAGTCCTCTTTTTCAACAGAAGTAAAATCCATCAGTGCACATGATAAAATATGTCTATCATTTATACTCAATGTTTGTAAAAATGGAGGCACCAATTCTGATGTTACCTGACCAAACAAGATTTGTTCAAGGATAGGCATTGCCAGTTTAATTGGCAAATACTTAGAATTTATCCAGCCCATATATAATATTTTAGCCACGATTCTCCATTTTTCTTCTGTAAAAGTATGACTTAAACATGGGATTTTCATGTCAGTACCAATTGTACATGTTTCATACATTGTCGTCCAAAATTCTGAAAGTGTGTCTCGAAGCACACCACCTGTATCAACGCCTTGTTCAGGATAACCATTAGGATGTAAGAGTTCTATATATACAGTTTCACATGTATATTTGCCTGCGTATCTGAATGATTGGAGCATTTCTTCAAATACATTCCCACGATAAAAAGTGAACTTATTCCTTTTAACATTTAAAGGGCGTCTGGAATACACCTGTGATTCATCTTCATCATCCGGTAAATCACCATAATAGTAAAATTCACCTACAAAAAAAAACATTGTTATATATTGAATTTCATGAAAAACAATTTAAAGAGTTTAAAGAGTTAAATATAACAGTTTATTTTTATTATTTTTAACAACTTAACCAATTAGGAATTGATTTGTATTATACAATATGAGTATGAATGCTGTAAACTATACTAAAATATAAAAAAAGACCTTTATAAAGCAGATAAGTAGATATTAAAAATGTATCAAATGTTAAATTAATTAATTAAATTACTTTTGAAAAACCATTTTGTTACTTAATGTTATTAGTACACATATCAATATTTAAAATAAGTATTATTTAGTTTCCAAAGAAAATTTTTTTTTTTAGTTGTTAATATAATATTGCACATATTACTTAAATGATTAAATATTAATATTAAAACCAAGGAGAAAAAATTATCTAATAAACAGTTTTAAATAGAAAAATAAAGTAAATTTCTAATAAATCAAAACACAAATAATTATCTATTCCACTTTCTGTTATTATCCAAAAATACAAATAAAATTTACTTTCAGGGTCTTCTGATGTAACTGTAGATGGTATAGCTGTTTCCAAAACAGACACATGACTAGTTGATGATGATGCACATTGCAAATCAGTGTCAGTATCAGTGCCAGAATCTAATTGATGAAACATATTTAAATATAAACATAAGACCTGTAGACAAATAATATATAAATTACTGTATTCCACATCATTTAATGTGTTAGTAGTACGTATAAAGGCCAAAGGATGAAAGAAACGTTGTGAAGCAGCAAAAGCTTCTGGATCAACTGTCTCCAATGCTTTTTCTCTGGTCACTAAGTAACATCTTGGTATTCCTAAATAAATGTATTACATATTATGTATGCAACAGCATACATTATTATAATAAATTATTAACTATCTGAACTACTTTTAAATACACAACGAATTACTGATATTGACTAGACAATTATATAAATACCATTTCTTCCACCAGCGTCAAACAAATCTTCAACTATTGTACTATTTCCAATGAAGATTTCTTCATAGTCAACAATTGTAGTGTCAAATTCTTCCCAACACCCATAAATTGACATGTTTTCTCTACTGAAGAATAGTACTTTAGATAAATTAAGTAAATCATCAACCTTAGATGTTGACGGACACTCAACTTCCCTAATACCACCACCAAATGTTTTGGTAACCTACAGCCAAAAAAAAAGTATCAATACCAAATTTAAATTATAAGACTTTAAAGAAATATATACACAATCAATAATCATACAAACATAGTTTGTGCAGTAGAAATATGTTTAATGTTTATGAAATTATTAAATGGAATTATGGTGATTAACACAAGAGAAGATTAGCAAGTAAAAATAATTCAATAATTAATCAAACAAACCCGTTCATATCCATTTCTTTGATCAAAATGAATCCAGCCCATTTGTATCCGAATCGATTGTACTTCAATATTTTCAAGAATCCTACATTAATAATTAATAAAAATATTATATCATGAATCATTGAAAAATACATTGTTAATTAATATGTAAATAATACATTGTACAAGTTACAGTAAATTAAGTTTTAGGGTACAAATATACAATGCCTAGAATAATAATAAGACAAATTACTCTTCCAAAAGGGATTCTACAGGACCATCCTCTTCTTCTTCGTCATTGAGAACATTGGGTAACTCATCGAACAAATTAATTTCACTTGATTGGATTTGCTTGGCCCAATTAATTATGGCCATTCGATCTTCATGTTTAGGTAACCATTCATTTAATAGAAAATCATCTTCGGTTAATGCAGACAATACATTTATATCAACCTGTGATAAAAACTGAAGTTAATCCAAGAACTGCATTTTTATAATACATAGGTATTATTATTAATTTAATTTAATAAAGTTACTTTATTATTATTGAATTATAAATAGTTTGATTATTTTATTAATAAGGAAAATATTTCTTTTTGTTTTTTTAATTCAAGTAAAATTGTTCATCTTTATAATCAAATTATTATACTATTATAATAATTGTTGAATTTTTTTTTACAAATATTCTAATCTAACAGATATTATAATAATAATATCCTAATCGACAAATTAAAGGATTAGGTATGACCGAATCACGGTCTTAGATTCTAAGATTAAGATCGTGCTACGAATATTAGTTTTTATTAAAACTGTTGACCGTTGAATTTGAAAACCAGATATTATTTTATTTATTATGATTTTTTTTTTTTTTTTTTAACACAATTATACTTGGCTCTAGAAATAAATGTTATTATCAATCATTGAGTTTGACCGTTTTCTGATAAGAGATTGCAATTTTTACTTTGTTTTCTTATTATTGTTACCATTACGGCTTTAGATTTAGATAGTTAAAGCTGTGGTTACCATGAAGACTTCATGATTATTATCACGATATATTATATCATTAATCGTGATTATTATTTATTATATATCATTAGAAGCGGTTCTAACACATATTATATTATAATTATTTTTAATCATGGTTTCTACAGGAATCTACATATAAGCTTGCTTCCAAAATATCTATCGTGATAAAAGTTGTTATTAAAACAAAATTTTTAACAGACACTAAAAGGTGTGCCCAACTACCAAAATATCATGAATTTAAGTCAAATAAACTGTTATAAAGTGTTCTTATTTGTAATTAAGCTTCTAGACTTCAACAATACCTATTTTGTATTGTCAAAACAAATCTACTTGGCACTTCCTTGAAATTTCGGAATTTTTTTCGAAAACATTATTTCAATGTTTTAAAAATTATGATGCCAACTATTTTTTGCGGAAATCATTTGTTTTAAAGTGAGTGCCTTATGAAGTTTACAATTTTTGTTTTTGAAATCTAACCAAATCAATGCTTTAAAAAGGATCATGTAAAAATAAATTATCAAAAATCAAGGTCTATTTTACGACTACCTCGAAATTTCGGATTTTTTTTGGAATGCAAAAAAATATATACTTATATCGTATTTTCGAAATTGCAAAACGTCAGGTAGGTAACAGGGAAAAGTGAAATAGCATTATAGGTATAATGTGGTCACTCACTCTATCAAATTTAATCGAAAATAACCCTCGATTTGTTGTGCAAAACCACTTCGGGTAGGTAACAGGTAACTTAACAGGTGATCTAACCTATAATTTGACAAGTATAGTTGCTCCCTACGAAAATGCATAAAACGATGAAAATTATGAACTTTGTAAGGCAATAATTTTAACACTAATAATTTCCGCAAAAAACTATAATTTTTCAAACGTTGAAATACGAGTTTCCGAAAAAAAAATCTGAAATTTTGAGGGGGTATTAAATAAGATTTATAACGTATTATCTTTTACATATTTTTTTTTTTGAATTTGCGTGTTAAAAAAAAAAATTAAAAGCCAGAAAATTGCATGTTCCTTTGATCAAAATTATTTTTTCCTCACAATTAAAATTATTTTATTTTAGTAACTATATTAGACAAGCACAAACGAACTCTGGGTTCAAGACTTATTACTATGAATAATAAATTTATGACTTAAGAAGAAGCAGAGAAAGCCTTTAAAATTCAAATATTAACAAATTTAAAATCATACATATCCTATAGGATTTTTTTGCAGTAGAAGTGAAGAGAGTAATTTTGTCTTAACATACAAGTTATGAATGAGTTTGGCTTTCCTATCTAGTTGAGTATACCGAATGAATATAATACTGTTAAAAATGTTAAACTTGGTATAAATTGTTAAATAAGTACCTACCATAAAATAACACGACTGTATTTTCTCTTTTGCTAAAAATATTAAAAGGTATTATAAAGAAATTGCTTATAGTTTATACTAATATTAAGTTGCTTAATAAAATTATTTTGGAAAAAATAAATAAGTTTTTTTCAGTTTTATATAACAAGGTTCAAAGAAGTTAAAACATTTACTAAACATTGCACCAATAATGATTGTATACTTCAAACTAAGATAATTTTAATGTTGTTCCAAAGTGGCCTAAAATATATTTTAACGTTGCTCCAAAATTTAAAAAATAATATATGCCATTAAATTTCAATACAATTGTAATTTTTTTAGCTGCCATTTTTCCTCAACAGCTATACCAATAAGCCAATATGAATGGGTAATTTATGTTTTTATAAACTTTTAAAGTACAAAATTTGAATTATAGTAATTAGTTTTCAAAATAATTTAATAAAGTCTTTATTTATTTAAAATTATTATTTTACACTCATATAGGCGTAGGACCTTAGAGGTAATCCTGTTTTTAAGTAAAGAAATAATATTAGTCAGTTGAGAAAAATAATTGTTGAAGGTAGGTAAGTACATAATACCATATATCCATAAAATAAGTAATCTAAATAATTAAATCTTATCATATGACAGGATAATATCAATTATGATATAATTAAGGTTAATACATAGGTATATAAGGGAAAAAAATAATGAAATAGGTATATTAAAAAAGAATTGTAATATGCAATTTCTTTTTTATGTTTTACCAGGAGACCCATTTCTAACTGTTAAATCCACCCTTGAATGTCAAGCAATCCTAACATGTATTACCTAAAATATATACCTAAATGAAAATCATCAATTCTATAAAAAGATAAAGTAGATTTATACCATTGATTTAGATAACTAATAAATAAAATCAATGCTTATATCAATTTTGTTTGGTATTTATCTAACCTATACTGAATGTCTGGGAATTAACACATACGAAATAGTACCTACTAAACCAGTGGTCTTCAACCTTTTTGGACTCACGACCCACTTTTTTAGGCGTACATTATTCGTGACCTACATAAGGCATATATAAAGAAAAACGTTTGTAGAAAAACAAAAAAAAAAAAATCTAAAATTACTTAATACTTTGTAGGAGTACTGTTATAATTGAATAAATAAAAATAAAAAAACTTATTAACGGATACGTAAATATGACTAGAATAATAACGCAACAAACATTTATTCGTTTTTAAACATAGCGACAATATCAATAATGTTCGTAGATTATGGGACTAACGATAATAATATAATATATTTATTTTATTACTAACCCGGTATACTCGTAAATTATTATATTTAATGTCATACTACGTACAATCATACCAGTATATGAAACATATACTGCGATTTGAAATCCAATGTACTATTATATTTTTAAATATAAATTATATAATGTTGTTTGTACATAATATATTACAATAATTTTTAAACTGTATTTTCATTTATTAATTTTCTAAGTTTGATAATTAAAAATATATTTGTATACCTTATATAATTATATAAACCTAATTTTTATTTTAAAAAGAAAACTTTTCGCGACCCAATTTTTAAACTTACGTGACCCAAAAATGGGTCATGACCCACCGGTTAAAAACCATTGCACTAAATAATCTTTTTTGTCAACGTACCGAATTTCAAATTATTTCTTAGATTATAAGCCATACATTGGTTTAGTCATGGTTTTTTAATAATTGGGAAAAATAGTAAAATAACATAAATAACGGTTTTGTTGTTTCCATTTTTTTTTTGTAATTCGGTTAAAACATTAAAATAACAGCTGTAGTCAAAACATTTTTGAGTGTGTATTTTTAATTTTATTATGTTTTTTTTTATTTAAAATTGTTTTGGTTAAGCAAAAATAATTGAAAATTTGACTTAAGCTTCATCATAAATCGTATTTAATGGTTATAACAAAGTTGAATGTAAAGTGGTTGAAAGTAGTTGAAAGTATTTTATATGTTTAGAAATTTCTGATTTTTTCGACAATCATAAAAGTTACAGCATTTCAAAACAAGCTGAACTTTGATCAGAATTGTTTTTCTTTTCAGAGAAAATCTGGAAGAAGTGAACAATAAGCTTGAGGAATGGAGAGTAGTACATGAAGGAAAGGAACTAAGAATAAGGAGAAGTAAAATAGAGTATGAGTTAGTAGGAAAATGACAAGACAGCTTACGAAAATAAGCGATTATAGGTAAGGTTGAGAGTTTTAAGTACCTCGCATATTTTGGATATTTCGTGTATTATTTTTGTATATTGGGTAGCATTGCTGTATAACCTAGAATAGTAGTTTAGTAAGAATTATCAATTTAATGAATAATATCCACAGCTAATTTATAAAACAAGAACAATGTTTAAAAATAATAAAGAACAATGTTGTATATATCCACGGTATTATACACAACATTCTTAAATGTGTAAATTAACAAAGTTTGTTAATTAATTGTAAAACGTTTAATAAAGGATTAACTATAACATTGATAAATTAGTGAAGTCATTTCATGAATCGTAAAACGTTTAATAAGGAACTACAGCTACAACAATAATTTAAGAGAAAGGTTACTCATAATTGTATTCAGTGGTTAAAAAAAATTTTGCTTAATGTAGTAGGTTTTAGATTATAAGTGGAAAGAGGAATGTATTGATTTTACAATGCTGTTAATTTTTTTTATGTGAACACTTTTTCTACTCCAGTTATCAAGTATAGCACCTTTTCTGAAAAAAAATTTTCTCTAGGTGGTACTTTAGAGAGGTTATTTTTTGAAATTCTCATTAATATTCGAGATAATGAGGAAACATTCGGTATTTAGGTTAAAGAAGATTGAAAGATTAAATATAAGGTTGTCATTAGTAAACATTTTTATTATTTTAATTATTTGTTTATTATTTATTATTATTATTTTAATTTTTTTCAAACAATCATTGATGTCATGGAAACGTAAATTGTTTTAATCATTGTACTATAATTTGACATAATACCATATATTGTATTGTTGATAAAGCAACATTATCAACTGAACTCGACTCAGAATCATTTTTTCGTTAGCAAAGGTTTATCATTGCTTGCAGGTATACATTAAATTGTCATCTGTAGCCTACCTTCCCAACTTCCCATCCAATGGCGCATATGGGATAGTTGGGGGGTAAAAATCCCCTCTGAAAATGTCTTCCTTCGTTAAATTTTTTTAAATCTAGTTTTAAACTCAACAACATAATATCTTATACCAGAAAATAAAATAGAATTTAATTTCATCAAAAATCATTTATTCAGTAATAATAGTGATAGTACTGTAAGTACTATTATAATATGTGTTATAATCTCCTAGCTCTCTGGGAAATTACTATAAACAAAACCCCCTCTGAAAAAAAATCTTGCGTGCGCTACTGTTCCCACCTACAACAGAGGCTCACCCGCGTGCGAAATATGTCCGTCCTTTTTTTTTTGTTTTTATAAACTTTTAATTAATATGTTGACAAAAATCGTAAAATAATGGCATTTCAAAATATGTATAACCTAATTTCGCTCAGAGTCGTATTTGGTTAGCAATGATTTATCGTTGTATACTGATATAAATTAAATAACTTTGTACTCTACATCGCAAAATTTCCACCTACAGTGGTACACTCATAAGCAGCATCAGCTTTATTTGTCAATACGAGTTTACCACCACCACCCCGGCCGTAGTCACTGCAACTCCCATCACCACCCTTCTAACACCTCCCTTCTTCCACCTCCCTTCTTCCACCTCCCTTTTTCCACCTCCCTTCTTCCACCTCCCTTCTTCCACCTCCCTTCTACCACCTTCCCACTAGCAATTCCCTTCTGCCACCTCCACGATAACTCCTCTACATGATACAGACATACATAAATGTTAACTTATAAGTTGTAGGTATATACTTTAGTGAATTCCATTTTTTGGCATATTTGTTCAGCGTCAGGTACGTTTCTACTACTTAAAAACTCCAAAATCGAAGTCATTGCGGAATAGGGCGTGTTCTTTCAATAGCCTGTAAAGGAAACCATTATTTTAATAAAACAAGTACATATTAGCATAAGTAATATAAAATTTCAATACTCACTCTGAATAGTATAATGTAATATTATAGATAGGTATCGAATACCTTTTATAATAAGTTAAAAACCAAAAACACAGACCAAAAGCGACGTCGAAAAAAAAGAAATATTTAAATATAACTAATGTGATCAACTTTTATACACAACGAATGCGAGTGTATAACCAGTAGTCAAATTGCAGAAATTTACTTTTTATGTAGGCAGCATTATGTACCTATACAACGGAAAACTAAAGTTTACACACACAAGTCGCAGATTGAAGCGTCATTGCGTCAATAAAAAAAAAAGAATAGAAATCAATATAATATTTCGCCGTCTGGTGGTGGCAACTCAACATACACTATTGTTATAGGCGTCGTATCAAATGAATTATCTTATCACTTACCACAATCATATGACTATTATCACGCTTCCATTGTCCATTTGGCCCAACAAAATTCGAATTCTTCAAAAATTGTAGTGTACTTGTACAAGTGCAGTCTGTATGATTTAATGAAAATTATTTTTATAAAATACTACGTATATAATTAAAAATGAATTGTTATCTAAGTACCTATTAGAAGTTTGATTCAATAAAGAACTTCACTTAAGATTTAAAATAAAGTGGTAAGTAAAGTATGTTTGTTTAATTTTAATATTTAAAATTGTTTTCCTATAAGCATGATTAACATTAATCAGACATGTACTACTGACAAAAACCATAATGCACTGTTCCGATACAGACATGGTCAATTCATACTATTTAAACAGTTTGGCAGCAAATGATGGGAGATATTGAGTTATGGATGTTGTCTGTTGGTTATTCACACTTATCAACTATCATACATACATGTTCAGACTTGATCAGACACAGACTGTTCTGACAAAACATTTTTGTACAGAATGTCTGACAGACTGTTAGTTTGATATTTGTATGAATGGAAAGAAAGGTTAAAATGTGAATTACCTTTATAATGTTTCAATATTTTTTCCAATGGTACAGTACAGTGTTCGTCATTGTATGTGTCTGACTAGTGTGAATCATGAAATCATGCATTATAGTAAGTATTGTGTAGACTTATTTCTTTGTATTTAGTAAATATTGTATAAAACTTTTGTCAGCTCCAGACCTTGAATTATAGAAGGTGACTTTTTTTAAAAGAACAAATAATATTTTAAGAGAATATGCTTTCATGGTTTAGCAACTGGGCAACATAAAAAAATCTACCATATGCAGATTGCGTAGTACTCATTTAATTTTGGTTTTAGAGTAAAAGTATTTATTATAAAATTAAAAGAGTACAATATTATGGAGAGAAAAGCAATGTTTTTTTTTTTAAATTCATTTTTTGAAAGGCTACTGTCATTTAAAAATGTTGAATTAGTTTTAATTTCTAAATAATAAATTGAATGTTTTTATTTGGATTAATTGAAAACCCATTTTTTTCTTCCGAAATATTGTTCTCTTTTATTTTTATAATAGGTGTTTTTCTCTGAAACAAAAATTAATCAAGTTCAACATAATGTGCGTAGGATATTTTTGATATGTTGCTAGTATATGGTTCTTGACCCAGTAAACTCTTTCAGTCTTGCATCTTACCTATAAATCTATTTATCTATAGATATCATCAATATCAACATTAACTGCCAATTTATATTCTACTTTTAACATCATTAATGTGTTTAATTTTTGCCATTTCATTGTAAATCTCAATTTGGATTTAACTAGATATAATTTAGAGAAAGACCTCTTCAAGTACCTACAACTTGTTATAGTAATTGCTCTGTATTCAGTGGTAGATATATTTCAGTTTTCAGAAGGGGGGAGGCAAATTTCAAATCCACAGGAGTAATGGTGTAAAATTTCTTAAGTATTAAGTTGTAGGTAATAATATATAGTTTTACAACCAAAGAAACAATTCATAAATAAAAAAAAAAACATTTAAAACAATAACTATTTATAACTAACTGCAAATTTGGTCAATAAAATCTGAATTAAAGTAGCCTTTTTGGTGATTAATAACTGCATATCTCTTTTGAATAGTTTTCTTGTATACTAATTAAAATACAACCATAAACCATGAAATGTTTTATTCTTAAACTTAAAAAAAAAAAAAAAAAAATAGAAAAGTTTTCTAAAATCTTTAAACCTGTCAAGTTTAAATTTATTACAAAATACCCAAATTCGAAGAACATATTTTACAAAATTATAGGTGAAATCAAACCAAAGAAGTTTTAAGGAATCTATAAAAACAATGTGCTCAGGAAAAGTCATAAAAAAAAGTGATACCAATCCTTGCTCTTCAATGTTCTGTTTCCGAGTAATACTACCAGTCTCAATGCTTTTTGATTAACCTTCTTACCTATACATGTATATATATATATATATATAAATGTTTTTGTGTTTTATTTTTTGTAATAATGAGAGCTGAATTAAATACAGTTTAGTTAAAATAACAAAAGTAAGATGGTTTTTATGTTTTATAAATTCAACAAAATATTCTTATAATATTAATATTAATAATCATATGTCCATGATTAATATTGTTTTATACAATTTATTTTAATAAAAATACTTCTTTATTAAAAAAAAAAAAATAATAATAATTATGCATCAAGTACAAACAAAATAATAATGTATAAACTACTTATCATATTTTTATTATTTTTCTGTTTAAAAAAACCATTATTTTATTCATCATAGTTGATACTTATTATAGCTAAAAATAGTTTTAGGCCATTGTATACAATTAAGTGGTTGTAATTGTTGAATAATATTTATTTCATGAACTTTATAAAATGTTTGGACATTACCATAATAATAATAGAACATTTCAAAAAGAAAATATTAAAAGTGAACTAATAGTCCTGAAATTCAACTTAGTAGTTTTATAGTGCCTGTTAAAAGAAAATACACTTTGTTTATTGTTGACATAAGCCTTTAAAAAAAATGAATAATATATACCTTTTTTTTAGTACTAAATGTAATATTAAAAAACATTTAAATAATATCTAATATATATATTTATATATTTTTTTTTTTATGTATGTTTTAGAGAGAATTGGTAAAATAAATTACATTTGTTAATTCTATTAAAACATGGAACTTGATAATACCAAAATCACATATTGTTCCTCTGATTCATCTGATTTGGATGTTGAGATAATAGATGAAATTGATAATGATGAATTAGAATTTACAGACAAATTGGAAGATAACAATAGTATTAATGAAGAAAAAAAACAGACATTGCCTGTCAATACAATGTTATCTTCAGACAAATTATCTACTAATAGTGATGATACTGATGAGGATGATGATGATAGTGATGATGTTGATAGTGATGATGATAGTGATGATGATAGTGATGATGATAGTGATGATGATAGTGATGATGATGATGATAGCGATTTTGATTTTGCTTTTGATTATGATTTTGATGATGATGATGATGATGACGATGATGATGATGATGATGATGATGACGATGATGATGATGATGATGATGAACCATGGGCAGTTGAAGAAGACAGTAGTGACAATTCTGATTTCCCCCTGATGTCATTAAATACTGTACATAAGAAAAACAATGAAAATAATCCAAATACATTAGAAACTGAAAGAAAAATGTTAACAGCTAATAGAAAATTAAATAACTCTATTCCTAGCTCTGTTGATTTCAAAATATCTTGTATTGACAAAGCAATAGACAAAGATAGTGAAACGGAAACAGAACCATACTTACCAACTGCAAAAAAAATTAAACCCCTTCCAGTCAGTAATGAAGAAACTGACATAAACTTAGAATTAAACATGAATAATTCTGATAAAGATACAAAATCTTTAAACTATATGCAGGGTTGTACTGTATCCTCATCAGATGTTTCTAATTTAACTGAAACAACAATCTTTTCAGACCCGTCTTGCTCAAAGGATTTACCGGATTCATCTAATTTATCTAATTCTACTCATCCTCCTGGTTTATTTAGTTTAAATTTAACTGACATTAAATCAGTTATGGAAAGAGAACATGAATCTAAACTTTTATTCAATTTTTATAATAAATCATTTTTGAATGGTGGACCATTAAATGATACACTCAAAGAAAATATTGAAATCGATCAAGAAGATATTAGAATATTGGAAGAATGTGATCTTGTTAAAAATGAATTTAAAAACACAATATTAGAAAATAGTAGTGAAGAATCACAAACAATACAATCTGAAGGTTTTGTGGATGGACCAAATATTATTAACTCTGATATAATGTATAATATTGATCTTAATGAACATCTAACACAAATGGATATATTGGTTCACAAAATTGAAAAAACACCCAATGACCCAACTCTATTAGAGGAATGCATGCAATTATTGCCCATACCTCAAATTGAACATGAGCCAAAAACTTATACTATAGAAGAGCGTACAAAATTTTTAAATGGTATTGCTGAATGGGAGTATGAAATAGATAAAGAAAACTGGAATAAAATAATGGTTAAATGTGCAGCAGTAATAACAGCTCATGCTGGATTTACTATAGCAAATGAAGAAAGTTTGTATGTTTTGGCAGATGTAGCTATAGATTACATAAAAAAGTTGGCTCTTATTATGAAAAATAATTTTGATATTCAATCAAGAAGCTCTTATCCAGAAAAAATTGATCCTATTAATAATAGTCTATTAGAGGTAAGTTCATTATTTATAAATGTTTTATCAAAAAATGTATTATATATTACCTATAATTTCAATAATAAATGTTTATTATCTTAGACTCTTATACAATTAATTTAAAATTAATTTAACTGTGCACCTGAATAGTAATTTCATATATTTTATTTTTTATCATTTAAATATGTTTAAAATATTTTTAGAGCTAAACATTAAATACTTTTTAACTAAATAATTTACTATTATAAATATAAATAGTTTAAAATTGTATATTGACGATTTCTTTTTTTTTTAACAAAAAGAAAATATACATGTAAAATGCTTATTATTATTTTTTTTACAAATAGTAAATAGTAAATATAATATTATTAATTAATATTAATAATAATTTATACCTAGGAATCTGTAATCAGATTTAATTTAATAGTTGTGCATTTTTTGTTAGAAAATTAATTTACATTTTTGAAAATGTTTCAGATTGGTGTAGAAGGAGGCATTAAAGAACTTCTTAAAAATGTTGAAAATGATGTGTTTGGAAAACAAAATAGACTGAAAAAAAAATGTAAACATTATCAAAAGATTATTGATCAGTATATTGAAAGTATGTTAAAGAACCCTGAAATTAAAAATCAATTTATTGCCAAACAGAATACTAGAGATGATAACTTGAATAGTCAACAGTTTAAGAAAAAGGATGAAAACTTGGTTCTTAAAGAACAAATTGTTGAAACGGAAAACTCCATAGAAGAAGTTGCTACTGATATTCAACATGCACTAGAATTCAATATTAATAAACTATTGGTAACAGAAGACAATGATATCACAAATACTGTCCCAGAGCAAACAGAATGTATTGAAAATTCAAGCATAGAAATCAAAAATATTGAAACCGAAAAGAAAATTATTGCACAACCAGACAAGAAAATATTAAAAATCAATCTTTTAAAACCAATTGTTACTGAGCCAATAGGTTATAAACCAGAATCTATTTTGTATAAAACTCAAGAAAGTTTGTTTGATTTAGACCGTGAAAAAAGGCCAAATTTATTCAGTAATAAAAGTATATTTAATATAGAAGGCTTTGGCGAACAGGATTTAATGGAACTACCAAAGGAAAATAATTTGTTTGGTATAAAAAATAAAAAATCAACTGAGTTGATAACTCTGGAAAACTTAATGGATGGTTTATGTAAATCAGAATCAGAAGTACCAAGTAAATGTACTTTAGAACTTCAAAAAGACCTTGACGAATTTGATTTAGAGTTTGAACAATATAAGGCTTCTCAAATTCAAATTGATTCTACTAATCTCTCCACTTTAGCTGATACATGTTGTAAAGTATACAGGCATGTCCCAGTTCCTCCAAAAAAAAATATTGTTAATGATGGAGCTAGTACTTCAAAAGAAGATAACACTCATCATGATTCATTTTTAAATAAGACTAATAATGATGATTTAAAAAAACAGCATGATTCATTTGTTGATGGTTTGTTAAATAAATTAGAATAGTCTGGATAATATTGAATAATAATGGAACATTAAAATTTGTTTTAATGTACAGTTACTTTTTAAAATTTAATTTTGTAATGGTTTATGAAATTATTAGTGTTAAAATAAATTAATCTACATAACTAAGGCCCTCCCCTTGCCATCATATTTTTTAGGTCAAAAATATGTCTTATTGCTTGGTCTGATTTTGATAATTGATTACTCTTGTTTGTTGGAAAAGGAAAGACTTTTTATAGTCAGTATTAAACTCAGTTTTTTAAATATTTTAATCTCAAACTTTATGACATTTCAAGTCAATTTAGAATTTTTTTTAAAGAACTTTTTATTAATTAAAGATCCCTTAATATTGTATTGCATATTTTATTATATACAATTTTAGTATAATTTTTAATTAAATTTCTATAATAATTTATCTTATACACAAAATTAGTAGTTGGTTAATTATTGTTGAGTAATTTAATTAGGTCCTTCCCCTCCCCCTTGTATTAATAATTAATGGTTTTTAAGGACTGAATATTTTTTAATCTAATATTATTGTGAATAAATAAATAAATACATTATTTACAATAATGAATTATAAATTATACATTATTATAATAAGACTTTGAAAACTCAAATTTTTTTTTTTTTTAGACAGTTTAAGAAAAAAGTAGCTCTAAAATGTTACATTATTTTTATTTAATTTTCTAATAATTCCTCGTAAATAATAATCCTCTAAAAATTCCATAAATAGATAAAGTTTTAGTTAAAATACATATTAGTCTTGACATTTTTAATTTCCGTTAGTTCATTTTAGAGCCGCATGTTTCATAAATTGTCCATAAATAGGTTATACTTTCTGAGATAATGAGCAACTTATCTTAACTTATTGATATCCCTGTGTATTAACAATTTTATTATTTTTATCTCAATATTTTTAAAATTGTAAAAGTAATCTAAATTTAATTTAAATTAAATAATTATAAAACAATACATGTCTTTTACTTTATCTTATAGCTAATAGTAATAATTTCAAATTTACAATATTTATTTCATATATTTAGAAAGGATTTAAAAATATTGAATCCTGTTACTGTTGTATTAATGTGTTTATGTACTTATTTTACTTAACCTACATTATATTAGACAATTTACATTTAATTATATTTTTAATATAAAATATTCCTAAATGATGTAAAATTAATTATTAAGTAATAAATTATTATGACATGAATACTATCATTATTAGATTCTGAGTGAAGTGAAAAAACTTATGGTTTTACAAAGATGTTTATTTTATTTAAATTTTTTTTGTGGTCAACTCTTCTATCAGAGATCTTGCTCCAATTTTTAAGTGTAAAACCTTTTCTGAAAGGGAGGTTATTTTTCAATTTTCTTATGAGTTTTCTGAATAAATCTGAATAACAGGAAATTTAATGAATTTTTTTAAATTTAATTTTATTAATCATCATAAATAACATAAAGAAAAGAAATCAAACAAAATTTAATTACGTGATTATCTACCTCCCTTAAGCTAAAAAGCTTGTGTTAGAGATAGAGAGTAATAGATTAAAAAAATTAAAAACTAATATACTTAATACAAAATAAATTTAGTGAACAGAAAAAAAAAGAAACAATCATGAGACTAAAAAGATAACAATTAAAAAAAAAAACTAAGGCTAATTCTATAAAAAACCAATGTAATTTTTTAACATTAGATATTAAACAGTGAATATTTTTTTCATATTGAAAAGGCATAGAGTTAAAATACATCCTAAATAGTTTACAAAAGATTGACCAAATTAGTATATGCTTGCTAGTATATGGCAGGAATATTGTACAGCCTATTTTTCCTTTTACCTTCATAATATATGTGAACCCTACATTTGATAAACATTTTAAGGAAACATCATTGCAATTTTTTCGTAAAGAAATTTGACTGGAAGAACACCCATCTTCTTATAATTTTGTATTATAGATCCATGTAAAGAAAACTTATTTAGACAAATTCTAATTATATTGTTCTGGTTAATTTGCAATTTTTTAAAATGTTATCACCTAGCCTCCCCCCTCCTATACTAACATGCTGTATTGAAAAATTGGTTGAAACAAGGTAATATAAATAACCCGTATTGTTTGCTTGTATAATAAACCGTTTAGCTTATGAAATTTAAAAGTTATAGTGCGTACTTGCCTACTGGATTTTGAATGTGAAGATTCCAACATAGATTACCTATTATCAAACATGATACCTAAATATCGAGTACTTGTAATTTCCTTGATGTCTACACATTTATTTAAGTGACTATGGTTGTTACCATCAATACTACACTTATATGTATAGTAATTGGTTTAAGATTTGACATTTATGGATTGAAAAAGACAAACATAGTTTTCTCTTCATTGAGAGTTTCCCTCCTATGTCTTGTCGATGAAAAGTAGGCATGTATCGTCCGCATTAGAAACAATTAACCCATCAACAATTACATCACTAACCGAATTAATATATAATAAATAAAATAAAATAGGACCAAGTACACTTCCTTGAGGAACTATATATTCGACCTATTACATTGTTAATTTGAACTATTTGCTTTCTTTTTTTGAGTAACTTTCAAACCATAATAAACTAAGATTATTAATACCGTAATTAGGTAAAATCTGTAAACTCAAGTTATATACATATAAACTAATGGGTTTTTCTATAAATTCGATAATACATTTTATTAATTTCACTGTTACTCATCTATGCCTGGTGCTATATTATATTTAAAATTTTTAACAATGTTAGTAATATTGTTAGAAAAATAGTATTAAAAGAAAGATTATTAACGATATTTAAGACACTATAATTATTATCACAGCTTTATTATTCAACTAACTTTTTCCCTATATTATAAAACAAGTTATTAAATATATTTAACACCCTCTTCAGATCAATACTAGTATCTTGTATTGCTGGTTATTTCAGATTATTGATCTAATGTCATAAGTTTTATTAATATTAGAACAGGTAATTTCATTTATCATTCGCCAATTTAATTTCAAATCACCTGATACACCCTTAAATTTTACCTAATAATAATTATTTTTTGCAAGTCTCAGAATTCGAGTGTATTTAGTTTTATACAAATGTAGGAATTGAAAAATATATTACAGCCTTTTTTTCTTGTACATATCTTTTCAACCAGTAATTTTGCTCCAACTTTTAATGTTTCTAAAAGGGAATTTCACTAGTGAGGTACTTTAGAGAGGTAAATTTTCGATTTTCTCAGGAATTTTCCCAGCAAATGTGAAAAACTGGTAAAATGTAGGAAAACTAGAAAAATCGGCACAACATTAAACAAATATTATTAAAGTAAATATATAAAGCCTTTTTAATTATTTTACTATAAAATAAAACTTATATTGTTTAGGATGCATCATTACAAACTGTACTCCTCTCAGAATTGTTTTTTCATTAGCAATGGTTTATCATTGCTTACAGATATACATTAAATTACTTATAACAGTGACTGCATCTATCCTCCCATTATCTTAGAACATCTTTTTTTTTAATGGTGGTTTATTAAGTTATATCTTGTTTGATTTTGGTTTTAAAATTTTATATAATTTATAACAGATTCACAGTGTATTAATCGTTTTTTAATTGATTGAAAGTTTAATGTTTGATATGCATTGAATTTATTACCTTTATTTGTTTTCAGCTATATTGAAAATTATAGAAGTTAAATTAGTAACTCGTAGTTGAAAATAATGCCGATTTTAAGTTGTAATTTTTGTGTATTTTGCACTACTAAAATATTAATTCTATTATTAACCCTATGCTAGTTTTCATTTTTTTTTTTGTGTTGTAATTATGTTGAATATGATTTAAAGTGTGAAATTTGTGGTATCAATTTTGAGATAAAATTGTTTCTAAATTATTAATCTCTAATACAAATATGTGTTTTTTGCCAAATAACAATTTTATTTTAGAATTCAACCATATTGTCTCTGTTCCTTTTTTGTCTCTGATTGCGGCTTCAGAATTACATTTGATATGTATTTTGGAATGACATTAAATTTCTTACAAGTTTTATTGAAGTAACTATTCATTATAATTTCAAGTTTAAATATTCAATTCTGTTCATTAATGAGTTGAAACATTAGCTTAATCTGCCATAATTAATGATAAAATAATAAAATAAAAACAAAATTATTAGATGGTTAATACTAGTAAATAAATAAATAAATTAATATAATAAATTAAAAAATCACATACATTTTTTAAATTGCATTAAATATGGTTTTTAAATAAAAATTTATCGTCAGGTATAATCACAAAGTTAAAAGTAAACTGCGACAATATATGAAAAAAAAAAAAAACAAAGGAATACATAGTGAAAAAATTACACAAATTGGTTGTGTTTCACATAGAAATTATTTAATAATTATTTAAAATTAGACATAGATATGCTATGAAATATAAACTGTTTGATTATTATTTATTATCTAAAATGTTCAAAATAACATTTACATTAATTCAATTTCAGAAGAAATAAACATAGATACACAATGAAATAAAGAAAAAATGTTTAATAATATTTAAATATTTTATCAATACATTTTAGATAATAAATAATAACCAAACAATTTAATATATTTCTTAACATATCTGTATCTATTATTTCTATGTAAAATGACCAATTTGTGTAATTTGTTCGCTATGTATTCTTTGGTTTATTTTTTCATATTCAATTACGTTTTACTTTTTGCCTATGTGATTTTACCCGAAGATGAATTTTTAATTCGAAACTGGTCGTACAATACACATTTCATAATACATAGGCGTCGCATTAATTAATTAATATATTTAAATTGTATAATAATTTTTTTATTAAATTATAATGTAATACATTCATTTTTAATTAACAGTACTCTAATATTTTGAAAACTTTAAAACCCAAAATGAATTATTAGGAACATAATTTTTTGAAAATAGTATTTTTCAATTCAGCAAACTGGAAAATTGAAAAAGTAGCATCTTAAGTAACAAAAACGACAATTCTCTGATGAACTCTGAATATTATGTAAAATAAATAAATAGAGAAAATTTAAAAGCAAGTAGATATTAAATGTTTTTGAAATCTAAATTAAATAAACGACGTTAAATGTTAATTTGTTGGTAAACCAATATAGGTAGATAGGTACCCATCAAAATACAAATTATTGGCGTTAAATTTCAGATTACTTGACTGTATCACTAATTAATTTGGTACTCGTCTAGTATGTTATCTACCAAAAAACTGTATGCGTGTAGTGTGTTACCTACCGTATTTATTTTTATTTTATTTAATTTTATTGTAGGAAAGTACATTTGAGTCATTCCGATTAATAACATATTATAACAGTTGAACAAAATTATAGCTGAATAGCCATTATGATAATTGATAAATATTCACCAGGACCAACAATAACTTACTTTCAGATATATTATTTTAGTCTATGTTGTGTATTTCGTTGCGAGTTATTCCTTTTTTTTTATTTTGAAATAATATAATTAATAAATCAATGTGCTATTTGTTCGGGCATTTAATATCCAATGAGGAAACAAGTGCTAATTATCTTCAAGAGAGAAATTTGCTGCCAGAATTTGGCAGTTGTTCCAAATTAAAAGATGGTTAGATTAAGTTAAATAAATAAAAATAAAAATAAATAAATAATTTAGTAATAAATTGTTATTAATATTATTGTTAATTTGCTATTAATCAATAATCAGTAGGTAAACGGTTTTTTGTAGGTATCATTTTACGGTATGTAGCATACTAGACGAGTACCATTAATTTTTATACATGATAGACAATAGTGTGGCCAAGCCTTTAAATTGTGGATTTAATGCATTATACAATAGTATAACAAAATTATACGCTTATAGCTCAAGTTCAAATTGAACGGGGAAAAGTTTGAAAATATTAGTCTATGGAGTGAAATATAAATAATTATTTGTAAGTACAGTCTTTTAGTGATAAATGATAAGGATATAAATTTTAGTGATAGTAAAAATGAGGAATATGAAATCTCGATAGCCATGATACTACCTGTTTAAATACAATATTATTTAAAATTCTTTGTTAATAAAACAATAACACTACTGTACTATTTGTAGGTGTTTTTAAATAACTAATAAACGTAAACTATAAACTTTGAATTGTATTTCAGTTTTTTGTTGAGTCGATCTCATTTACTTAATCATAGTTAAAATGTCCGCCGACGGCCATACAAATCCATTCAAGTATTTCTTAGCCGGAGGTTTTGGCGGTGTATGCACAGTGTTGGTGGGCCATCCACTAGATACTATTAAAGTATGTCCGCAGTAATTACTACTACCTACTACTATATTATAATTGATTCTGTGTAGGCTTATGTGTATACAATTTGGGAACTTGGACAGTAGTAGATCAACATTATACAATTGGGTTGATTTATCATTCATCTGTGAATGCAAACCTTACACTTATTCTCACTAATCTGCAAAGACATTTTGATATATTTACAGATAGAAATTAATTAGAATGTAATGTTAAATCCAGTCAGTGGCATTCCATACTTTAGTACCTACTTATTTTAAAAGTATTCCAGGTGTATTTTATTTACCTAACTATGTATTTTAAAATCATATTACAAAATTGAATATCAGAGATATCAATAATGTTTTAAGATAGTTTCTGATTATAATTTTATTATTTCAATTTATAATATATTTACCCATAATAACTAACTTAGATTTATCAATATTGTAATTTATTACTATATCAAATACATTAATGGTACCTATCTGTTTATTTTTTTGATAAGCTATATTTTTATTTGGTGTACACTTACATTAAATTAAATACAATAGTAGGTATTGTGAATGCACAATAGTTTTTCTTTGTACTTACATAAGTACAATTTGTCAAGTCATTATACATAAAATTGTGATAAGGAGTAGGCCATATGATTTACTTAGTAATGCTTAGAATTCATAAAAAAAATATGACTTATTTTCTTCTTTTGACAGTTTTTACAATATATACATTCTAAATAAATTGTATATATTTAAACAACATTAGTACTGAAATTAGTAATTATACATTAAAATTATTGTTTGTGAGCAAATTAATTTTTGATATTTATTAAATATAAAAAAATATGTTAATAATGGGGAACTTCATATTAGTTGATCTATACTCAATGGTATTACTTACATAATTGTTGACTGTTTAGTATAGAATTTTTAAAAAACTTTGTATAAGTTGTACTTTGTGGTCAAAATACAAATTTAGTTTAATTTAGATTTTTTTTATAAGGATTTTAATATCAAATTTTGATGAAAATTGTAAATATTATGACCTATTAAAACACATTTAACCGAACTCCGCTCAAAATTGTTTTTAGTTACCAATGATTAATCATTGTGTATAGATATACATTAAATTCCCACCTATATACTATATACCTTATACCATCTATATACTTGCCCAACTTCACACCCACAAGTTACAACAATAACCAATTGTGTGAAGTATATCCTTTTTTTTTTTTATCTAATTTTTTAACCGTAGATTTGAATTTTACTAAAAAATTTATTTATAAAATTAATGGTACCTACTAATAATTTATAACTTTCTAATGGAAAGTTTCTGTTTGCCATGAATCTTAAAAAATCTAAATCCAAAACATTAAGGTTCAAATTTAGTATCAGTAATATCTATTAGATTATTATTGTGTTTTAATAAAATTTATTTTGTGTTTGGTAAATTAATTTAAAGGCATTTTTAACATTTTTACATGTGTTCTTTTTTTATTATTTATCTTAGGTTAGATTACAAACAATGCCTCCTGCACAATTAGGTAAAACACCTATTTACAATGGAGCCTGGGACTGTGCTGTTAAGACTGTTCAGAAAGAGGGGTTTTTTGGTTTATACAAAGGTACTTTCTTGTTATTTTCATCGTAATTTTTCTATGAAAAGTTTTACTAACTAATTATATTCTATTCTAGTTATATTACTAATACTGTTGAAACTATTTGTATTTATTTTTAAAATAATCTTATTATTTATAAAATTATAATGTTTTTAGCATAAATATTATTTTGACAACAATCTAGTTTTTTTTCTAAACATTTAATTTTCTATATTAGATTTTTAAATTATTTTATTGAAAAATTAAATACAATTTTACTTAATTTTTATTTAATCATAGCTTAAAGTCAAAACCTAAGTAATAATAACTAAAATGTATTCCTTTGTCAATTTTAATTTCATAAAAAACTAGAAAATAACACATTTTATTTATCATGTACTTATTGTTTATTTTCTTTTTTCTAAAATGAGTAGGAACAGATTGAATAGATTAACCAACAATTGTATAGGCTAAATAACTTATTTTGGTTACAAATAAAATGTAAAAAAAAAAGAATTATAAAATTTAATCCTAATTATAATAAAATATTAGTTGTTTGGTTTGTTTAGGGTTTATAGTTCAAATAGTTCTTGAGTTAAATGCATCAGTATTCACATTCTATCATATAAGCAGCTAGTGAAATTCTGAAAAACAAAAAAAAAATCTAAAAGCTTTACTTCAATATATCTAAAATAATTTATTTAATTTATTTTTGATTATAAATAACTGATGATTAAGAAAATAGTCAAAATTAACATAATAATTACATTATAATTTTTATTTAGTTTTATACAGGGTTTTACCTATGGCAATTTGGAATTTTGTTGCTCTATGTTCCAGTTATTATAAACTCTATAATGTATTCTTTGCTATATGAGTTCTTACTCATATAACAAAGAAAAGGCTGAAACACAATCTGTAGTTCCACAGTTTATGTTCCAAAGTAGAACAAAGAATATTAATATTGATAATAAGTACACAGAAGTGTTTTTTTTTCAAACTTAAAAAGAATGATTTTACAATAAAATATTCTAATGTTTGGTGTTTATTCATTTATATTTACTTTTATTAATTTTCTCATACCTTTGTTAATTACATTATTTTTTCAGGTATGGCAGCTCCTATTACAGGTGTAGCTCCAATATTTGCTATCAGCTTTTTAGGATTTGGACTAGGGAAAAAATTATTCTCCACTACTGAAGATAAAAATGAAAATTTAACTTCATCTCGCCTATTTTGTGCTGGATCATTTTCTGGTATTTTCACAGCAATCATTATGGTTCCAGGGGAACGCATTAAATGTATTTTACAAGTGCAGGAGTGCGGCAACCAAAAATATGATGGTCCAATCAGTGTTATTAAAAATTTATACAAAGAAGGTGGAATAAGAAGTTTATATAAAGGAACCTGTGCTACTTTACTCAGAGGTAATGCATTATTGTTTTATTTACCTACTAATATTTAATGTGGTGTTCAAATAATTCATTAAATAATGTTTTAAAGTATTGATATATTTATGTTAATTAAAATACAAGGAATTCAAAAATACGTATGTATTTATATTATTTTTAAAAATAATTTAAAAGAATATAATATATCATAATAATATTTATCTTTTATTTTGTGCAGTGAAATTCAAAATTTTTTCTTTTTCATTTTTGATATCTCTTCTTTTAACAATGATTTACTTATGTATGTTCCATTTTTTAATAGTATACTTCTTTCTGAAGTCACATGTAATGTTCTATTAATAATTGATTCTGAACTGTTAACAAAATAATCCATAGTATTGGTAGTTCCCATTGTAACAATAGTATTGTTTCTATTACTTAAAGTGTTTTTGGAAATATGATCTAAAGAATCTGTGTTGAAAATTGAAATATTTTTCGAGTTTGGATTCAATGTTAATGTGATATTTTTTGGCTCGGTTGGTTGAATATTTAGTTTATTGAGTAGTTTATAATGTTTGAATTCTTTATACTTTTTCTTCATGTAAGGATTGACACCATAGGTTTTGCTATCACAATTCAAATATTTTCTTAACACATATGAAACAGTTTTTCCTTTCAATTTTTCTGGATTTAAACATATAGGTTCTAACTTTTTATTATACATATATACCGTTGTACTTTTTACTGTACAGCTATATCCTTTCTTTAAATGATCCCATTCACAAAATCGTTTGTTCATTTTTTCCATACTTTTGGTCATTAACGAAACGTCCCATGATTTCATACTGCAAGTACAGTGCAGTGGATTCATATCTAATCTTATTAATTTTACATTTGATACAGTCTTGAATATTCCATCAGCCAGAACTATTAGTTGGTTATTATTTAAGATTAATTCCTGCAATGAAAATTGGTTATCAAATAATCCAGGAGGCAATTCACGTAGTTGGTTGTATGATAAATCTAAATGTTCCAAGTTGTAAATACCATAGAATGAATCCATTGAGACTGATTGTATTGAACAATTACTGAGTATGAGGCGCTTAATATTTGGTATTTCAACAAAAGCGTCAAAAGCTATATGGTTGATGGTACCTTTAATATTAAGCTCCACTAGTTTTGAAAGTCCAATTAATAAGCTTCGATCTAGAATAGTCAAGTTAATATTAATTAAATGCAATATTTCTAGAGAGTCTAGACCAATAAAAGAGTTTTGATGTAAATAAAGTTGTGTATCATTAGATCCCAATGTAAGTTCTATAGTAGCATTGAGAACTTCAAATGTATTCGGGTATACAGTTTCAATTGGATTTTTACTTAAATCTGCAACTTTTAATTTAGGCAATGGTGGGAATGTACTTTCTGATAAAACATTAAGAGCATTATTTTTCAAGTTCAGATACTGTAAATCAAGGAGGCCAGCGAGTCCAGTTATTTGCAAATGTCTAATTTTGTTATTAGCCAAGGATAAACTTTTTAATGTACTAGCACCATAAAATGAAAAATCTGGAATATACTCGATTGCGTTGTTGTCTAGAATTAAAGTTTCTAATGAATCTAAACCATTAAATAAGTCCCAAGATACATCTTTAAGACCACAATTTGTAATTCTTAAAAACAATAAATTTTTATTGTTTAAAAATATACTATTTGATTTTGCTCTACTCTTTTTAATTTTCTTATAAGTGTTGTATGGAACCATGTCAACATCTTTGGGCTGCAAAAATATAAAACTGTTTTTTAAAACATTATTCTCTTTATGTAAATAGTACATTGGTAAGACTGGTACGAGTTCATTAAATGCATAAGAATTTTCTTTTCTATAGACTTTATTGTCTATTGTTAGACTTGGCTCATTGTTTTCCAGTGTTATTTTGTCAAATGATACATTTTGAATATTTATATATTTTATATTTTTTATTGACTTAAACATTTTATCTGTAATATAAATTCTTGTAGGTACATTATTTCCATGAATTTCAAACAAAACTAGATTAGGCAATTTTATATCATCATCTATAATAATATTGTTTGAATCAATTGTTTGAAATAAAATCAGTGCCTGAAAAATAAATAATATATTTTGTTAAAATTATGTAAAATCAACCAAAAAGTTTTAAAATTTTATTAGGTTTATTTATTTTTACCTACTATTCATTACATGAGTATATTTTATTTTTCGTAATTTGTATTATTACACTTAAATTATTTTTAATAGTTAAATCAATATCTATTTATTTACCTCTGTGTCTAATGGAAGAAAATATAAAAACTCCTTAGGGTTTGTAACATTCATAAACATACATAGAGCTGTCTTAAATAACTGCCCATTGTGATTGGTTATTGGTGAGGTTCTTTCATCTTCTTCAAAAACCTTTACATAAATAGTATAGTAATATTATAATATTATTTTTTTGTAATCCATATTCTATAGTATAATTATAATGTTTTCCATATTATATTAATATCATTTTTATATTACTTCATTTTGGGTATTAAATGTTTGCAGTTCTAGTTCAGAATTTATTCCATTATTCATCCATTTGACAATAGGTAAATCCACAAAATCTGTGTTCTTACAGGTACAAGCTCTAGGACAATCTTGACCCCATTGTTTATTTACATCAACACTCTGGACCTGCTTTAAGATTCATAATCATTAACATACAATATTATTGTCTTCAAACAGAATAATCCTATTTTAAATTTAATATTTAAATTGTATAATTATATATACATTTATACATTTATTTATTTAATAATAACTAATAAGTAATAGTTAATATTTTAAAATTTCCATTGTATAATCAGTGGCGGCATGATAGGATATTTTATGAGGTGATGGTCTCATGACCAATTGGGCGGTACCCCCAGGCTAAAACAATTAATTGTTGCTAACTGATACTCAATTTTTAATACTTTATTGTTATTATATAAATATTTATATTAATATTTAAAATACATGTTATCAGTGCCCAATTTTATTAATTTTTAATATTCATAAAACATAAAATCACCATGATTTTAAGCATTTTCTTGTGGAATGGTAAATTGGAGTAGAGGTAGGAAGAAAGAGGGTGGTGCAGGGTCTTTGTACCCACGACTGTCTAATAACATCTAGTAGTGTGTCAATGTAGTGGTAGTGGTGGTTAATTTCTAATATCTATGTTTGCCTCATGAAATAAAAATGTTCATGCCGCCACTGAGTTTAATATTACACCAGTTTATTATTATAGTGTTGTCAATTTGTTTGAGAGTATATATATACAATTAATATGAAATATTTTCACCATTTATACTTTTGATAGTGGACTCAACAAACTCATTACTTAAGTATACATGCATTCTATATTCTCATATTAATTAAAAATAATTTTTTTTGTATAAATTCTAAATATTTTATTTTATTATTTTTCTATATTATGATCCATTAAATTTAAATAATGTAAACATTTTTTGTTTGACTCTAATGCATTTGTGGACAATATTCAAAGTTATACAGACTTTCAATCTTCATTTAAAACTTTTCATATAAATGAAATATTTAAGTTTATACACGTTGATTATAATTTTATCCCCTTAATTTCTTGTTATTTTAGTATTGTAAAATGCAAAGAAATAATTTAGTAAATTACTACCTATATTATTCTCTAGTAATATAAAATTAATCAATAGGAAATTGTATCCAACAATTTAAATTTGTTTGGATATTTCATAGCAGTCTTTTAATAGGTCATTAAAACTGAACTAATATTAGAAGTATTATTATTTGAGTAAATGGTAACATTTTAATATTGAGTTTTAAACAAGGGTAGGTTAATCAAATATTGTAATGATTTATTATTATTTTACACATTTAAATAAAAAATTCCTATTTTCTATTAATTAATACATTATATTTATTTTCAATAAATGCTGGTAATAAATATAATATTAAAAAAATGATTGGTTTAATTAATAAAATATATTATTTATTGAATTGATTAATGATTATTTTCAAGGAATCAATGATTTTAAGTAGGTATGTTCCTTGTTCTTCTTATTTACTAAAATGTTGTTTTCTTATTCTATGTTGATTAATTGTTTAGATCAGTATCTTATTTTTTATTGGTATTGGATTAATAATATAATTAATTAATATCAGTTAAAATATTATAAATTTAAAAACCCATGTGATATTGTCATTAGTCATACCTTTTTATCCAAACTCGTAACTTGTAGTATTTACATATTTATGTTTATAAGTTTTATAGACATCTTAGTAAGCTATACATTTATTTCTAATCACCAAGATGTCAAACTCAAATTTGTTTGTTTAATAATTCGAAGTTTCCATACCATTTTAGTGTTTTAGTCCTACTTTTTCACTAATTTTCTTTTACCTGTTTTTTTTTTTTTAATTAGTTGTCAAAGAGAAAATAACTAATTTTTTTAGAAAAATTTAATTATTTTTTAAAACTTGAATTTATTTAATTTTGAATCAATTTAAGATAAAAATATCAAAAACTCATTCATTTAAATCATTATAACTTTTTTTTTGTGCATGGTAATCAAAGAATAATAGTAAACAATATTCAGAATAATCAAATAAATCAAATTATAAACAAACAAAATGTAAAAGTACTATAATAATCTTGTAATCTAATTTTTTTTTTAATAAACTTTGTGAAGGTTTAAAGAAGTTTTTAGTGCATATTTAAGTGCTTCTATTAATTTTTTTTTTAAAATTATATTGCTCTTCAACAAAATATTTTTGAGCTACAAGTTAATAAACCTGATAACAGGCAGGAGATAATAGACAGGAGTTTTTTGGAGGGGGGGTTCAAACATACAATTTTTCACCAACTATCTATAATTGTACCAATAATCTGTTTTTTGTTGAGATGCTTAAATTTTGAGGATTCCTCTTGTCTACATGCCTGTCTGATAACTTATAAAATAGATGATAATAATAATATGTTAAGTTTGTTTTATTAGAACGAGATGGCACTTCTTGTGTTTTGGTATATATTTATAATATAATTTTGAATTGTGGTTAAATATTAGACTGTATTGTTTGACCTAACCCAAGTAAAATATTGGTACCTAACATCATTTGTGGAGAAAACTTTAAAGTTCTCTAACTGGGATAACATAAATGTGTTTTATTTAAATTGACTTACCTGTAAATTGACACACACACTGATAACTAAGCACCATAATAAATAAATCTTGTAAAAAATCATTTTTTAAAAAAATTAATTTTTTATTTTGTAGGTATATTTTTATATGTTTTTAAATCCACTCCCGAACAACATGTGGTATACATAAGTATATATTATAACAATATTTTGCTGTTATTATTATTACAACAATTTTTTCATTATATTTTACTAAAATATTATACTGGACTGACATACAATAATGTTATCTTATTTTACTTCCGGTCCATCACGCTGAAACAGGAACTAGACTGCGATATTATTATGTATATTGTTGTGGGAGTGAAATTACACTAGATGAATTTATCAGTTTTATAATAATGTCTATATACTGTGACAAAGTAGGTACTTATATTATTTTTATAATCAAAACTTATAAAATGTGATATTAATGTCGAGACATATTTTATATTTATGATAAATAGATTGGACAAATTGTTCAGTGAATACTATCAAAATGTATTTTATTTATGAGAATATTTTTATAAAAAAAAAATACTGACATACTTTGCACCATGGGTGGGCCATTGTTTTAGGTAAGAATTTGGGAAGGTAGGATATAGAAGGAAATTTAATTTATATCTATTAATTAATTAATTAATCTTTGATAACGAAAAACGATTTTAAGTGAAGTTCGGTTACACATATTTTGGAAACCGTAATATTTATGATTTTCATCAAAATTTGATATTAAAATTCTTTTAAAAAAATTCTATATTAAACATAACTTTTTTTTGGCCACAAATTATGACTTATAATGAACATTCTGTAAAATTTTCTAGCTTTTCTGTTTAGTTTAAAAATGTTTTTAACAAAGTACCTACCAAATAAAAATTATGTATAGGTACAACTCATAAAATTAACCGAGTCTGTAAATAGCTTAAATTTTATCACATCTAGAAAAAGTAAATTTAAGTTTTATGTTAATATGTCAAGTCTCTTTCAATATTTTTAACTGAATTACAACAATAAACGTACTTCGCATTTGGATGGGCTACTGCTGTAGGTGAGAAGTTGGAAAGGTGGAGGGGAAATTTAATGTTTATCCGTACACAATGATTAACTATTGCTAATGAAAAACAATTTTGTTCTGTAAATCGTGTTGCTTTTTCAACAATATGTATGTCATATTATGCTAAAATAATTGCATATACATTATATATTTTCTTTAATAATATTTGTTTAATATTGTACCTATTTTCCTTTTATAAAAGGTGCTATACTTGTAAATCAGAGTAAAATTGCTTGTAGTAGAGTTGCCCACAGAAAAGAAAAACCATCATTGTAAAACTAATAGAATATAAAACAAAATTGAAAACAATAAATAATTATTTTTGTACATTTTCCATTCTTCTATGTTTTTTTTTGTTGATCATCAATTTTTATTATACATTAAGTAAATATTCCTATTTTTTGCCAATTTTTCTCAATTATTATGAAAACCGTTAAATAAAATTCAAAAGATTACCTCCTTGAGGTACCATCCATATAAAATTTCCTTTCTGAAAAGGTACTACTTTTGAAAATCTAAGTAAAAGTTGTTTATAAACAAAAAAAATTAATGTAAACCAAAATATGCATCATAGTAAAATCAATAGATCCCTTGCCACCACTGGATCTAAAATTTGCTATAATTTGAAATTCTATTTGGATAAATAAGAGCCATGACATGTGCTAATATTATTTGTACTTCAATATTTTATAAAATTATTATTAATCTTAAAGTTAGGATGTACTATTAAATTTTAATGTACCTATTTAATATTTTTTTTTCTGTTTACAGATATTCCTGCTTGTGGTGTGTATTTTACCACCTATGAATTATTAGTAAGATATCAAAAAAAGAACAACTCTGAAGGACTCATGAACACAATTTTTGCTGGAGGTATGGCTGGTATAGTTAACTGGTTAATCGCTATGCCTGCAGATGTGCTCAAAAGTCGTTTACAAATAGGTTTGTACATGTACTGAAATATTTACATAGCTCATATTAATATGTTTTACTATTCAACTAAAATTGAATGGTATGTATTACTGATAAAGTATGAAAACCAGTAATGTATACATTATCCAAGTAATGTGAAACTTATCCCTTATTAATTATTACCTGTAAGATGATAATTGATAATTAAAATACCCAAATATTTACCTTAGCCAATGTGCTATAAATAAATTAAACCATTAGTGAAACAAAAAGTACTATATTTTCTTATACATTTTATTGTTAATAATAATAAATTAAATATTGAATTACATGTATAGTGGAGTTACAAATTGTGTTTAGAAGTAAATTAAGTATATTAATAAAGAGTAATATATTTGATTTAATAATTAAGTTAAAACTTATTTGTTTTTAAAAAAGAAAATAGAATCCAATGTATTATATGAATAATTTATTTAATATTATTAAAAAAAAACTAATCGAACTTTGTAAAAGTCTGTGGTTTGTTTAAACACCTTACCACCCACATAAAATTAAAATCTGACAGATGCCTTAAAGAAAAATGTATTGGTAAAAAAGTATGCAATGAAAAATTAATTTATTGTTTATAAAATATAAGTAAATATTTTATTATAATATAGTGTAATGTCTATTGTACAAATATATAAAAAAAAAAAAAGGTATCCTAATGAGGTGGATGTATCTAGTGTTTTGCTAGAAGTTGGTTGGTGTTTGGTTTGATTTTCATAAGAAGCATTCTCAAGTTGTAACCATGTAATTTTGTTGTGAGTAGATTAATTATTGCGCTAAACCCACATTAAACCAAGTAGGATGATGGAAATGCTAAAAAAAATGTTTGTACAATAATCCAAATTCCAGGATAAAGTATAGATATCTGCTTTTGCAGCCAAAATGCTTGGTATCTATCAATTTAAATTTCTCATTTGTAGTTACTTCTATCAATTCATCTTCTAATTTTGAAGAATCTGTATTTGAAAATGGATCTAAAACCTATTTGGGTGTATCCATTTTAAAAATATTGTTAAATCGTTTGTTGAACAATAATTTGTACTGTATAATGTTGAAAAAAATTAAAACAGTCACCACTCCATTTTGCAATACAATACCTCCTATTATACTTTTAACTTTCATTGCTCGTCTAGATAGCCTTAGTGCTCCCAATGAGGTGAAACACTGCTAAACAGTATACATAAATATAAATTAATATTTTAGATTCTCTGATGTTTATTTTTTTTTCTGTTGACAACTTTTCTACCAGAAATTTTGCACCAATATTCAAGTGTAGAACTTTTTCTGAAAGGAAATTTGATTGTGGTGCTTGAAGGAGGTAGTTTTTTTATTTTTTCCAGCCGTTTTGATAATCAAAAGGAATTGGAGGGGGGAATTATGCAATTTTGAATTTGTTTTTTTGTTTTGATTCAGTTAGGTTAGGTTAGGTTAGGATTCAGTTAAAAATATTTGTAGAGACTTGAAGTTTGGACAGAATACTTATATTTGCCTTTTCTAGAAATAGTAATATTTTTAAAACATTGTAGCCATTTTTGAGCTGTTTATAGGGGGTGGTTACATACAATTTGTTTGGTAGGTACTCTGTGGATAAAATTGTTAGACCAAACAGAAATATTATACATTTTAACAAAAGGTTCATTATAAGTTGTACTTTGTGGTAAACAAAAAATTGAGTTTAATGTAGTATTTTTTTTTTTTTATAAGAATTTTAATATTAAATTTTGATGAAATTAGTAAATATTACAAAGCAAAATTTTTAACCAAACTGATCAGAATCAGTTTTCATTAGCAATGGTTAATTTTTGTATACAGATATATAGGTACATTAAATTTACCCTTTACCTTCCCAATTTCTCATCTATAACAGCGGCCCACCCATTGTGTGAAGTATGTTTAGTATTTTTGAGTATACCAAAACAAATTTAGAAAATGGTAAGTAGGTATACCTAAGCCTTAAAAACACTGTATGGAAAAGTTTTTATTGAAACACTGAGATATTCTGTAGATAATTTCTGGATTAATCACTAATAGTTTGTTATTTTAATAAGAAACAAAAGAAAATTTGCTATTACAGTGATTATTTTCATAAACAATTTAAAATGTAAAAAAATGTGAATGCAATGAAATATTAAAATTCAGATTCATCATATTGCTTTGCATATAAATCATGTGATAATACAGAATTTTTTTAATCAATTGAAGTAATATTGTTTATTTTTTTGCCTGATTTACTAAATTTTCTAAGTAATTCTAATAATACAGCTCTATTTAAATAAAGACACAAACAAAATTTAAGAATTCTAGTGATAAGTAAAAATAATTTCTAAAAATATGTAAAAATAGTTCTTACCTATTTTTTGTTAAATTGGGCAGTATTTTATTTACAACTTTGTAATTATTAGTACATTTTTTTTTAGCACCAGAAGGAATGTATCCACGAGGTATCAGAGATGTATTTGTACAACTTTACAGAGAAGAAGGACTGAAAGCATTGTATGCTGGTGTGACACCTGTCATGCTTAGAGCATTCCCAGCTAACGCTGCTTGTTTTTTGGGTGTGGAATTAGGATTGAAAGGTCTGAACTTTGTTTTCCCCCCCCAAAACAAAGACATCTACAAATCCAAAAATCTATAATTATTTTATTGACAATCTACTTATGGGATGGACATTAATATTGGGAAGCTCATGGTTCTTTATAATTTTCTATTTATTGCTATTATTATTATTTGTTTAATATATGGTAGGTACTGAGCTTATGATAAAAAAATTATTATTCTTTTCGAGTGGCCAATTTCATTGGATAGATATTATGTTATATTTATTATAGATTTTATGTAATTTATTTTTATTATATAAACAGTATCAATGGTATCTATAGGTATTTATTTATTTATGTTTGGGTGTATTAAGTTTTTTATGTACCTATATTGTTATATTATATTAATTATATTTATTTAAACATTGTAAATCCTATAGTTAAGTTATATAAAATTATAAGAAACATTTTTTTTTTATTTCTTTTATATACATATATAAAACATATGTGTTAGATTCTAATAGTTTATTTTAAAATATCAACCACTTCAAATAAAAATTAAATAAATTATACCTATCCATAATGATGATCCAGAATGTTATAACTCATATTAATTATTGACACTGACAAAATAAAAATAATGCAATTTTTTTTACTAGATTAAAGATATACAAATATTTAAAGTTTTAAATTTGGTTCTTTTTACAGCCAGTTGTTATTTATTTTTTAAAGTATTAAATGATAGAGTTGTTTTGAAGTCTAATGGTAGTATATTATATATTTTTGGTCCTATATATATAATTAAGTAGATTGAGTTAGTTCTTTTGCATAAAGGGAACACTAATGTTTGATAATTGTCTTTTGTTATATCCATGATCAATGTTAGGTTATTTTTAACTATTTAAATTACTGATGCCTTATAAAACAATTTTATTAATGGTAGAACATTTAATTCTTTGTATAGATATTCTGTGTGATACAAATGATTCTTTTTTAAAATAATTTTTATTATTGTATTTTGTATTATGTTTAATGGATTAAGTGTTGTATTGTAGGCACCTCCCCAAATAGTAATAATATAGTTAATTATGGATTCTACTAGAGCTTGGTTCAATTCTAATTTTCTTAATTTCAAATAAATCAGCTAAATTTTTGAAAACATCGATTATTTTTCTTAGTTTTATTTTGTCTGTTTAATATAGTATTGTTATTTGAGATTATTGCACATATCAGTGCCTAAGTATTTACAAGGTTTTATATTTTTAATGTAGTTTGAAATGTACAAGATTTTGAATTAAAGCATTTGTGTTTGTTAATACACAGGCTGGTTATATCTGGTTGGTTTGAATTATTTATATAGTGTGGTAATGAATAAGTTTTAACAATATTTAAGAATAGATTATTTACACATAACCAATTATTGATTTTTCTCAGGTCATCTTGTATGGATAAAAATACCTCATCCCTAGAGTTACCATTAACAAAAAGAAAAGTGTCATCAGTATAACAGACTAGTTTATCATGCATCTTTAAATTGTTTATTTGATTAATTTGGAAATGAAATAGGGTGGGAGAGAGATTAGTACCTTGAGGTACTCCACATATTGATTATGTTTTTAGACTTAAGGAATTATTCATTCAAATTCTTTGTTTCCTATTTTTTAAATAAGAGTTAGTAAGTCAATAAGGCTGGATCTTGGATACCAAATTTATTAAAATTATTTAATAATATTAAATGGTCTATAGTATCGAATGCTTTAGCTAAGTCTAAGTAGACAGTTGTGCATTTTTTTTTACATTCAAATGCCTTATAAATATAGTTACATACTGTTGAAATTGCTTGCTCTGTATTTTTACCTGTACTAAAACCAAATTGTGCATTTATTAATAATTTAAAGTTTTTTTGGTAGTGCACTCACTCATATTTTATTATTTTTTCAAAAGATTTAGCAACATTGGAAATTTGAGCAATGGGGTTGGGGGGGGATAATTTTCTATGTTTGATTTGTGATCTTTTTCATAAATAGGAGTTATTACTGGAATTTTAAAACTGTCAGGAAAAGTAGACTTTGAGATGGCTAAATTAAAGTTGTGAGAAAGTGGTCTTATTAATGAATTTACATTTGATTTAAGCATTTTAACAGTAATTTGGTCTAGTCCTGGTGAGGAATCTTGTTTAAGTGACATTATTGATTTTATGATTGTTTCGTCTTGAATAAAGTTGAAATTTATCAAACATTTATTTATATAAATATATTTAAAATTAGTTATAAGAATGAATATTATGATAAGGTTATTGTACGACCCATTTCATATTAAAAATATTCATCATCAGATATATCACAGTCAAAATGTAAAATGTCTGGAATACACTAGTATCTCTAAGTTTGTATTAATATCAAAACCTATATTATGGTTATTTTCTAAAATATATTTAGCAAAATTTGAATCAGGAGTAGTTTTTTTAAATTGTATTTTAGAAATGTGTTTTTTATATCTTATTTTAACATTTCTATTTTTCTTATCTATGTGGAATTTATTAAGTTATATTTAAGTTTATATATATACTATTATTTTAAAAAGAAGGTGGATTTTTGGTGAAGTTTTTAGTTCTATTGTTTATATATTTGATTAAATTTTAGCGACTTTTACATTATTTTTATTATTGTTCAGAATTTCAGCAAATTGGTTAGACATATTATTTTGATATTTCTTACTACAATAGTTAAAAACATTATTTGATGAGCTGTATGTAATTTTTTCTTTAATATGTTTATGGATTTTTTTAATAGTATTTAAATTCAAATTATTTCTATGGGCTATATTATAGATAATATTGAGCTCGTGTTGATATTTATGTTTATTTAATAGAATACATTCAAGCCTATAGAATATTGAATAAAAAAAATATTTTTGAGAATAAGGGTGATTAGAATCATGTGGTGTTATGGCATCAGTTGTGTAGGTTTCTTGTAAATACTAAAATCAAATTTATTGTTTGTTATGGAAATTGTTATATCTAAGAAATTTAATTTATTATTTATTTGTATTTCGAGTGTAAATTGAATGTTTTTATTTATTTTGTTTAAGTAGTTAACTAAATTTTCTGCTTCCAATTCGCTAAAATTCTGAACAATAATAAAAATAATGTAAAAATCGCTTTTAAGACTAATAATAATTTAATCAAACATATAAACAATAGAACTAAAAACTTTACAAAATTTTATTTTTAAAATGCTGTTATATATAAACTTAAATGTAACTAATACATTTTGTATAGGTAAGACAAATAGAAATTTTAAAATAAGATATAAAGAACACATTTCTGAAATAAAATTAAAAAATGCTGCCCCTAATTTAAATTTCGCGAAACATGTTTTAAAAAATAATCAGAATATAAGTTTTGATATTAATACAGACTTGGAAATATTAAATACCCAAAATAATGTTTACATTAATTCAGTTTTAGAAGAATTACACATACACAATGATTTAAAGAAAAATAATTTTAATAATATTTTAAATGTTCAAACCGATTTAAAAAATAATATTTTATATCAACACATTTTAGACTGTAAATAATAACCAAATAATTTATATTTCTTAACATATCCATATTTAAAAATAACTAATTTTTAATTATCTCTCCTATTAAAATAAATTATTTCTATATTCTATGTAAAACGACCAATTTGTAATTATTTTTTTCTAATTATTCCTTCATTAAATTTTTTATATTCAGTCTCGTTTTACATTTTGACTGTGATATACCCACCTGATGATGAAGTTTTAATTCGAAACCGGTCGTATAATACACTTATCATAATACTCCAGGCGACTTATTGATTTATTTTATTTTTTTATGTACATTTTTTATTTATATATTTGTTTACTTTATTTAACAAATAATTGGTCAGTTCGTATTAAATCGCGGTCATATTTTGTATGTTCGTAATTTAAATAGTGGTAAATTATTTTAAATAATGTCTAAAATAAAATTATCCACATCTTCTCGCTTGCGTGACTACGTTATTGAATTCGGAAGAGACATTTTTACAACAGATGGGACTATTTTACTCAGTAAAATTTGTAATATCAAAGTCGCTGTAAGAAAAAAAATTTACATTCAGCTACATATTTCAAGGGAAAACCATGTTAATACATTAACATCGATGAAAAAAAAATTAAAAACTTCAACAACTTTTAAATAACGTGTTAAGCAACGATAGCATGATAATTATTCGTTTAGTAAATAACTTTATGAATATACTTTACAAAAAAATTATGTGGATAAATGTTTTAATGAAACTATTAATTCTATTCGAAAGTACGTTGAGAATAAAAAATATGGGCCAGTATCGTTGAGACCTCAGACGTCGTATGTGGCATTTTAAGTATTATTAATATGAATAATATACCCAAACGTGTTAATTAGTCCTTTATTGATAATGGTAAAAGTCGGAATAAAGTTATACATAAATATTGTCTGCAAGGCGAACAACGATAGACAGTCCCCATCGATCGTAATACGGTATGCTATGATTACGTTATACTTATAATTAATATAACATAACCGTATAATGCTTGTCGCGCAGTAAATACTGAATATATAAGGTTAGGTTAAAAAAATATTAGGTCTTTCATTAAAAATAATTATTATTTTAGTATAGTATTTACTTTACTGTTGTTAGTATCACACATTAGTATTATTTGTATTGAATATAATTGACAAATAAAAACTACATTATTTAAAATCGCTTGGAGAGTATCGCTGATGCAGTTTCCTAGACCTAATTGGTCTGGGAGTTTCATCTTTCATTGTAGGATTGGGAACTTCAATTGGTTTTCTGGCGAGTATAAGTGAAATGTAATTGCTTAAAGGTGTTAAAGATTTGTCGATCAGTAATTGATTATTATATCTTTTCCAAATAGTTTCATTATTAAGTTCTACGTCAGACATATTGTTACCAATACATTTGATGATTTTACTCTTTTGCCATTTATTATTATTATTCCTATAATCTTTAGCTAAATCCTTATCGCCTACAGTGAATGATATTCTATTATCTCCATTGTTTATTTGCGATATTTGTCGGTTAAAAACCCTTTTGCTGGTGTTTAATTGGTGTTGATGCATCAAATTGTAAACGAGTTGTTCGACCGAACATTAACTGAGCTGGCATTTCTTGTGTTGTTGAATGAGGTGTATTACGGTACATTAAAAGAAATTTATTTTATTGCGATTGTGCTATCGTACATTTTTCAACGAAGATTTTAATTATTTTGACTGCTAATTCAGCACAGTCGTTTGATTCCAGGTGAAATAGTACGCCTGTCATATGTCTTATACCTAAATTTTTACAATACGATTGAAATTCAAAACCTGTGTAACATTTTGCGCCATCTGATGTAATTGTTTTTGGTATACCAAATCGTGCAATCATTTCCGAATATTTGTTTATGACAATTTCTGCTGTCATTGTTTACTGGAAATACTTTTAACCATTTTGCAGTCATGTCAACTATATGGTAAAAAATATTTATTTTTGTGGATTTTGTCTAACATTAAGGCAATTGTCGTAATTACGCGTAATATTTTAAATTTCCTTATCCATTCCTAGTTACCAAAAATATGATCTGTCTAAACTTTTCATACTAGAAGCTCCCATGTGACAAAAATGAAGTTCTTTTAATATATTATTTCGAAATTTAGATGGTATTATCACTCGATTACCCCATAATAAATATCTTTGTTCAATTGAAATTTGAGTTTTTCATAAATTATACGATTTTATTTCTAAATTATTGGCAAAATTGTTTCGTTCTCCTGTTTTGACTGCGTTTAATACTTTTATAAGAATTGTGTCCCTACCTGTTTCAATTTTTATTTTGGATGAGTTCGGCGTTAACGGTGATTGTATATGAATAAAATTTAGACTAATGCATTCTTCAATTTGGTTTTCGATCGTCGATTCAGAAATTTTTATTCGTGATAAAAATCAGTTATGTTGTCATTAGATTTTACATATTTTATTTCGAAATCTAATGATGACAAAACATAGGCCTATCGTTGTAATCGATTAGCAGCATAAATTGGTTAAATACATTTTTATCACCAAAAATATAAATTAATAGTTTATGGTCAGTTTCTAATAGAAAATGCCTATCATATAAATAATCGTAACATTTTGTAATACTGTAAATTATTGCTCACGCTTTCATTTCGATTTGTAGAAATTTACATTTGGACCAGTGATGCACCCAGGGGGGGAGATTTGGGCCTGAAGCCCCCCAAAATTGTTTTATATTATATAATATTATTATTATTGTTATAATAATAAAATATATTTTTTTTTCATTTGATTATCATTTGTCACGTTTGATACACATTAATAGTTCAATAGTGGGAGATAAGGTTTGTGGCAATTTTGTAACGGGCCCAACGTAGGAATAGGACTTGGAGGAAAAATGTTTGAAATAAAACAAACTCCAACTTGAGTTTATAAATAATTAATATTTTCCACACAAAACACCACAAGTTCAAATAATTCAATTCAAACATCGAAAAATATTCCAAGTCCAATCTAATTTCACCCACAAAAATATTATAAGAACAAACACATTTCATAAAACGGGAGTGATGCGAAGTTGCTCGCATTTAATCGTGGCGGACTCGTCTGAATCGACGATGTTTCGGGCGGCGTTACATATGCTCAGAGGGACCCCCGCAACCCGTCGTTTCGTTTCAGCAGCAATTTTGCTTCAACTTTTAATGATACCAATGTTTCTGAAAGAAAATTTCACTTGGGAGGTACTTTAGAGAGGTCATTTATCCATTTTCCCCGGAGTTTTCTCAACAAATGTGAAAAACTGGGAAAACCGGGAAAATCGGTTCAACATTAAACATATTTCACTATTAAATATTGCAGTACCAACGAAGTATTACAACTTATAAATATATAAGTCACCGCTACTAAGAAAAACATAATTAACTATCTCCGATAAAATTTGTAATAAAAGCAATATTTTTATCAATCTGAGGGGCAAAATATTGGCAAATTATTCTCATTTCAATGGTACTGATAAGACATTTTAGTCTAGAGATATTTAGTTGAATAATTGAATAGGCTTTATATATTTTCTTCAATAATATTTGTTTAATGTTGTACCTATTTAACCCAGTTTCCCTACGTTTTTCCGAAATTTTATCCAGGTTTTTCCCAGATATTATGAAAATCACTTGAAAAATTAAAGCACGACCATCTTCCTTAAATTACCATAGTGATAAAATTTTCTTTCAGAAAATAAGCCACATTTGATACATCGAAGCAAGATTTTTGGTAGAAAAGTTTGCACGACAAATCGAGGGGTATTTTGCGGTTAAAATTATCTGAGAGAGCGATGGCTTAGGTCTCTATGTACATCCAAAGTGCGTTTGTTTTTTTCTTGTTTAGGTAAAAGGGGGAAGAAATGCAAAACATATTTTTCGACACATTGGTATGAACTCGGAAACCCTAGGATATTAGATCACGGTTAAATCAATATAAAGTTATTTAATAAAATATATAATATCCATATAATATCAGAACTTCAAAAAGCTATAATTTTGAAGCTTAGTCAGTCCGTTTAATTTCGACTTCACAATCATTCTTAAATCGGAAATATACATAAGTTCAAAAAAAAAAAGACAAAATTGAAACATAAGATTTGTTCCACATAATTTTTCACTCAAACGATTTTCGTCAAAATTTAATATTAAAATTCCCTTATAAAAAAAAATACGACATTAAATTCAATTTTTTATTTTGATTACAAAGTAAGACTCTTAATGAACCTCCTATTAAATACTGAAGCATTTCTGTTTAAGTCAATTTTTCAATTAAGTAACAATTTTACCACGAGTATCTATTGAATAAATATTACATACAAAATTCTTAATATTAACATTTTTATAAAAATGGCTCAAATATTTTAAAAATTTTATCATGTTTAAAAAAATAAATATAAGTTGTCTGTGTATTATTATTAATAATATGTGTTTAATCCATCGATTTTCCCGTTTTTCCCATATTTTTTTTTGGTTTTTTATATTAGCTGGGATATCTCCTGAGAAAATCGAAAATTGACTTCCTTAAAGTATCACCCAGTCAAATTTCCTTTTAAAAATATTGACATCGTTATATATTGAAAAAAATTTGCTAGTAGAAAAGATGTTCACAGGAAAAAAGAAAGCCGTCACATTTTTAACTAATACCTATATTTCTTACATTTTCCCGTTTTTTTTTTCGGTTTTTCGCATTTGATGAGAAAATTCTTGAGAAAATCGAATGATAAATCGAGAAAATCTCCCCACGCTGATTTCCTTTTAGAAAAGGTGTTATACGTAGAAATCCGTGCAAATCTTCTGATAGAAAAGTTGCACATAAATAAAAAAAATAAACATTTTTCTAAAACCATAAGCTTCTTCGCTCCATTTTCCACTCAGAATCTAAAATGTTATAGGTTAACTGAAGACATGAACAATTAGTTTATAATTTAAGTATACAAACCATTATCTTGTGTATTTTAAATTACTTCGATATCTTCACTTATACAATTTCTTTTTAATTTTGGTCATTTGGAGACAATATCATACTCTTGACAAAGCTGTCCATGAGAAAAATTTGGCATACATAGTATAATCTTTAAATTAATACTTTTTATTGAATTTTCTGGTAAAGATTTATCTCTACAAAAATTATTTGGATTTAAACAATTAAAGTCAGCATATAAATGTTTGTGCTTTTGAAATTGTACTAAAATTCTTTGAATAACTGAATAACTTTATAATATGCACATTTAATGTACTATAAGAATGCAATGAATCATTGATTGGATTATCATTTGATTGATATATAAATTGCTTGGATTATTTTCTTAGTCGAAAATCGAAATTATTTTACATTGTCGTGGTCTTTGAATACTTGGATATTGGATAATATTTGGATAGAGATGTTTTCTACTTTTTTTAATGTAGTGTTTGCCTATGTCAAATATTTATCAGCAGCTTGCTTAATGCTGAGAAAATTGCGATCAATATTTTTTTAATCATTAAGAGTTTGAGTTACCATTTGGTGGGCACAAACTGAATTGATATCACAACCTTGGAGGTATTTGGATAATGGAATGGTTTTGTTAATAATCTTTAATATATTTGTGCTGTTAAAATTGTTTCATATTTACACAGTCCTACTAAAAAATCACTAGCTTTCAGACGTACTTCTGATTTATTTAATATTAATATTTTCACAAATATCTTCTAATGAAGTTATTATTTCAACAAACAAACAATTATCAGGATTATTAAAGTAACTAAAAACTTTGGTTATTGCTGAAGCCTTTGATCACCATTTCGTTTCTTCTCTTGTATATATCTTTTGTCTTGTACTTTTTGAATATCTATTCGACTATAAGATTCTTTTAGAAAACAGCACATACATTTAAAAGTAAAAATAAACTTACACCTTGTAAATTTTTGTTCGTTAAATCACTAATAACAAGATTTAACATATGAGCATAACACCAGATATGTGTATGTGTTGATGTTATATCGTTCAATGTTATAGAAAATCTATTATACATATTTTGTATATGTACAGCTTCATCCGTTGAATTTCCAACACAGTTTTTTGAATTAATACCCATTTGATAATATTTAATAGAAAATTAACAAAATCAATGTCTTTGCTTGTCTTTAATTTCAAAATTGTATATAACCATAACTATGAGTATTAAGTGCGTTGTGACTGTACAAGTGATGAGAAATTAATTAGAGCGCTGACTTAATTTTAATTAATTTTATTAATAGACATAATAATATTGATAACAATCACAATTGCATAATAATATGGGAATGAATGACTATTGACTATATATATTTGTACATAAGTGATAAATTAAATAGTTACCTAGTTTAAAATTATTTACTTATATTTGATTTTTTGAACATTAATACATGTTAATAACATTGAATATTCAATAGTATTGAAACTGGGGGGACCTCATAATTTACTACGACTAGGGGTCCACCGGGAAAATCCCTATTTCCCGATAGGACTATCCACCCTTGATTACCCACCCCACCTCCTTCTCTACACTCTTCATTTTAAAATGTTTAGTTTCCTTTCGACCCAATGAGTTCAAACTCAGAAAATTGAGTTGCACTATAGGCAAATTAAACCGATAAAGTTTGAGTTGAATTTCAATATGAAAAGCACTATGTTAATGATAGAGGAATGTGTTCTTTTTATCTTTGAACATTTTTACAAATCCTCCAAATGCAGCCACTTGATATAATTTTGTATATGCATGGAGAATGGCATTAGTATCAAAGATGTGTTTTTGGGTGTTTAACTTTCAACCTAGAGATACATTTTAGTGTTCAGCTTTGGAGGGGTAATATAAATTTCACATACGCATAATATATTTAAAGGACTAGCTATTAGACTCAAAAATACTGATGGACTTCCTATTTTTAACACATAGTACAACTTATGATGTACTATGTATCAAATATTTTATCACTTTTAAGAAGTTAATAATTGTATCCACATAAAACTAAGAATAGCTATCTACAAATTATAGAATGCCAAATGCTAAGTAAAGACTTTGTTGATTAAAACAAAGGTACATTAATGTATATAATTAAGGTACCTAATATGTAAGTTAATTAAAATAAATGAATAAATATTAGGTAAATATTTTTTGTATGTTAAATATATTGTGAGTTAATTTCAAATAATCCCTCCCCCCTCTTCCGAAAAAAAGTTCCAAAACGTCCACTGCCTACCATACTATTATAGAACTTGTCTTTAAGTTCTCTTGTTACATTAAACACCTGATGGTTATCTCGACTTTATTCAATCACACCACACTTAATTTTATGATTCCTATGACACATCCTCGTCAAAACCACCATTTTTTTTGTTGTCACATACATCAAAGATGGGGCAATTCACCCAAGCCTTGTTTAGGAATCCTCAAAATATTTGACATAATGTATACATTTTTTCTTTTAAATTGAATAATATAATCTATTTGAAACATTTCTAATTCCTGTTGTAAAAAAGTTTTTAATTTATAAACATTATAAATTTAAATATCATGTTCAGAGAAAGAAGTAATACATAAATAATATTAATACATTATTGGTGCACATATTGATACTATTTTTATTTTTAAAATATCAACATTTTTTTCCTGGTCACAATAATTTAGAGTAGTTTTTTATTAATTAAATTATTATACAGATTTATATAATAAATTAGTAATAGTGATAAAGAAAAAGGTTTTTGTTGACTAACAAATCAGAAAGTGCTTTCATTTTTAACTCATTAGTAAGCTAATGTCTTTAATTCATATTTATTTTTTTCTTGTATTAAGCAATAACAATAATAATGGAATATTAAGAAAAAAAAGTTTACATATTTTAAATGGATAATGCATTTAATGTTATTTTCACTAATACTTTAGTTTATAATAATTAATTTATAGAATAAAGTAGGTATATGTGTAGTAAATTTTAAGTTAATATATTACATTTTATGTCCAGACATATTGATATATGGGTATATGAGCATCTTATTAAAATAGTACTGTTTAATAGATCAGAAAAATCACAGTGATGACTCATGACTAGACTAGATAACAAAAGATCTATTGGAAGTAAACCAGATTATAATGGAATTATGAATATTTTGTATTTAATATTGGAGTAAACTGGTATTATTAATAAAAAACCTAGCTCATAAAACCTATTAAAAAAAACACGATTTTTGTTAATATTTACTTCATGTATAAGAGCATCTTGCAGTATATAATATAATTTAGTAAGAATGGTTCCATTTTAAATTGTAATAATAACCTTAATATGTAAATAATAATAAATATTGATTACACACTAGTATCTAATTAATGTATCTAATTAATTATTTTTAAAACTTGATTAAGTTGACTTGGAAGAAGAGAGAGGTTATGCATGACAAAAAACCCGAAAGAGCTGATACTGGGGATGGTTGCGCCAATGGTATAGGTGGAAAGCTGAGAATGTAGAATACATAAAGTGATTTAATTTATACTTATAAGAAACGATAAAGCATTGCTTATGAAAAATATTAGAAGTATAGTTCGGTTAGACTTGTTTTCAAACACCATAATATTTAAGTTTATCATCAAAATTTTTTTTTAAACTTATATACAAAAAATATTGCATTACATTTAATTTTTTTGATTTGATCACTAAATATGAATTATAATGAACCTTCTGCAAAATGTCAAGCATTTCTATTTAGTCTACCCATTTTGTCTACAGAGTACCTACTAAATAAAAATTACATAAAAAACTTAGGAAAATTAAAATGTCTATAAATTTTACAAAAATGGCCAAATATTTTTAAAATTTTACTACATCTAGAAATATCAAATATAATTTTTAATTTTCTCGTTCTTTCTGCGCTTTTTTTTCAGTTTTGCTCAATTATTAAAAATACTAATCAAAAAACAAATTCTTGGTTCCCAATCAGATTAAAAATGCAACAAAAAAGGTTTCTAATTGTTTTTTTATTGAAGCAATACAAGTATTTCTAGTAGGAAACATAAAGTTTAAAGTATAATTTAAAATAATGAAATCCGTAACATCGCGGTACGCCGTAAATATTTACTGTTTTACATATACGTTTCTTTCTGGTTTTTCCTAATTATTTTGAAAACCCCTTGAAAAATCAAAAAATAATCTCTCTAATGCACCAACTACTTTTAAAAAAAGTTGTTACAAGGTATATATTTGAGCATAATTTCTGGTAGAAAAGTTGTTCAAATACAGAAAAAATCGAGAACTACAAAAACACACATCATAGTAAAACCAATAAATCCATTGCTACCTAACCTACGCCATCTAATTCACTAAATTTTAATTTCAATACAAAAATAACATAAATAATTTAATGTTGGTTCAATACATTATTGAAATATCTATCTATAACGGGGTAAGTATGGGGAAATCAAAATTAGATCAAACAAACGATAATAATAATAATGTTCAATTCAGTTATATACGAAGAATAAAAAGTTATATAACATTTTTTAGATTTCAATATCTATTAGGTGGCGAGGTGATGTACAAGATGTCTCTAAATAAAATAGGTCTTCAGACATCATCATCAATTGATCGGGAATCTTTTGATTGGTTTCTTTCAAAAAATGTATGAGTTCGTCACAATTTTCAATATCCTTTTGAGTAAATAAAGTAATTGCCTTATGTATCTCATCTGTTCTTCCTGATCTTCCAGTTCTACCCACATTGTGAACATACTGTTCAAGGACTAATGGATAATCGTAGTTTATGACCAAATTTATGTCAGGGATATCGATACCTCTAACCCCCACATTTGTAGCAATGATAATGTTCACAGCTCCATTGCGCAGGTCAGCCAACAATTCCTCTTTTTCCATTTGCGAACTTTTTCCAGATATACACCTGAAAATCAATTATCAGTTTTAGTTTTATTAAAATAGGCTTCTGAGTTATAATTAATACTAGATACCTGTATGAAATATTAAGACGAGAAAGCCACGTTTGTTGAGTTTCAGCAATAAACCTTGTATTCATGAATATAATTACTCTATCTTTCTTATATATCTTATTAAAAATAAAGTCTCTCAGCCAGCGTCTCTTCTCCTTTTCATGAAGCACAATAACTGTCTGTTCTACTCCTTTCACAGTAGTTAAATCAAATTTTTCGATCTGAATTTCGATTGGATCTTCGATATATAATCTGTAATACTTCTGGAAAATGTCATAGAACTTATGTTTCCATGAGGAACTAGTCATAATAATTTGTCTGTCAGGGCGTATTTGTTTTAGTGACAAGTCTATTGTATCTTTGATACCTAAGCCCTCCATTAAATGAATTTCATCAAATACCAAATACACAACATGTTCGAGAGTAACAGCCTTTTGCTCAACCATATCATAGAGTCCATCAGGAGTGGCGACAATAATATCCGGTATATAATTTAATAGACGGTTTATCTTAAAATGCTTAAATTCAGGTCTATTATAGTCATTATACACACTGTGCACAGAGATTCCGCCGAACAAATATTTTTTTATTTCTTCTTCGATTTCTATTACGAGATCTCTGGTTGGACCCAATATAAGCACATATGGTCCAATGCGTTGTTCGCGCGGAACAGGCTGTCGCATCAAATTAATAAGGGCCGGAAGTATATAGGCCAATGTTTTTCCAGTACCTGTCTGAGCAGTAATTACCAAGTCGTGTCCTCTCATAATATATGGCCAAGCCTGGCATTGTATAGGCGACGGTTCTTCGAATTCCTGTTGATTTATCACAGCCATGATTTCAGGATAATTGTGAAAAGCATGATAGAATGTTTTTACCGGTTTCAGTAGTACCGTTGAAAGTTGAATGTGTTTATTATCAAATTTTAATGAGTAACTCAAGCTAATGTTATTTTTTCTCTTTTTATATAATTCTGCTTCTTTGGAACTCATAGTCTTCACTTCATTGTGCTCAATATAAAATTTCTTAATTATCTGCGGTAATGATGACGCGTGTTGAAGTATCTCCTCTTCGTTTTCTCTTTCTGCCTCAGCCGATTGTGTGTTGATGGGGGTAATAGTTTCGAGACGAGATGAAGATTGTTCGTTTGCTTTCACAATACATGAGTTGTTAGTATTGTTGTTGACTAAATTGACTATTGCGCCACTTTCCTTTTGAATGCTATTGATCTCGGCTTCATCGTGCCCGATTACTAAACCGGCTAAACCCACTTTAATATCCATCACGGTAAACGGTATGGAATAACACTGGAACTGAATAAAAAGCAAAAACTAAATATAATAAAAGAATATATTGAAAACGCTAACAGTATTATACAATGCAATCAAGACCCATATCATTTCAGCTTAGTACATTTTTTGGCCACCGTAAATAAAATTAAAATGGGTGAAACTAATATACACTAGGTACCTAGGTATTCTAATAAAATTTTCTTTTTCTTTTAGATTTTAGTGGAATGAAACAATTTGTTACATTAAATAATACTGTTATATTTTGTATATCATAAATCATATAACATATACATTTTGTAAAACCAAGGCTGCGGCAAATTTTGATTGATTATACGATTATGTTACGTAGTAAATTCAAATTTTGGTCATAGAAAAATGAAACAGTTTTGTATTTTTCATACTATGTGTCAGGTTTGTACAATTTATTTTAATATTAAATTATTATAAATTAAGTACTCATTCAAAAAAAAAAAAATTATAATGTTTTAAAAATTGATGTTACATTAATTTAATCCTTGGGGGTACTTTAGCATCCCCAGTTCACAAACTCCAAAAATTAATAAAATAACATTTTTAGAAATATTAGAAAAGTTTTCTACTAGTAATTATAAAATGATATTAGTATCAAATTATTATAATTTAATATTGAAAGTAGTACAAATAATAGATACCTACCTATAATGTAAATATACAGTATGATTATTTTATCATTGAACACTCATTATTTCACTAAATAATGACTTTTTTTTGAAAAAAAATTGTTTTCACAACTAAAGAAACAAGTAGATCTAAAGTTTAACAGTTTCATTTTTTTTTTTACAAACTTATTTATGGGGGTGAAACTATACTACCACATTTGATTTTTAAATTGCAATCTATATTAAAAGTTCAATACATAAATAGAGTATTATTTAAAATAAATGTTGGTATTGAAATTCTTGGTTTTACTTGGTCAACCCATTCACGAGATATTCCACTTTTAAGTTTATCTAGGGAGAGTGTAGTGGAGTATAATTTGTGTGGCAACAATAGTACGTGGTGTTTGAATCACTCTACTACTCTCCCCTAACTAAACTTAAAAGTTGAATATCTCGTGAACGGGTTGATGAAAATCAAAAATTTCAACTCCAACATTTATTTTAATTAATACATTAAAATATTAAATGTATAGATTGCAATTTAAAAATTAAAAGTGCATAGAAGATTCACCTTTAAAAATTAGGGTAAACAAAATAATGAAAATGTAAGTTTTTTGATCGGCTTGTTTCTTAAATTTTGAAATACAAATTTGTTCAATAAAATTTATATTTTGCAATATATTTGATTGATAATTATATTATCTAAACTGTACGCCTGAAAATTCAAAATTATATAATTATTTTAACAGAAATTACAAAATGAAATAGTTTTTTAAATCTATTTACTACCTAATACTTTATATCTTAAATAATAAAACATAATGAAATAATTATTTATAGTTATATAAGTGTCGTTAGAGGTATGGTATTAGTGGGTGTGGAGCGTAGCTTCCATTGGGTTGTTGTGCACTACATAATTTCAGTATCTCCAATAATTGGGTTCTAGTCTTGAGCCCTATGGCCAGTCATCAAAGTAAACAATTTTCGTGTGAATAATTATACAATAATATTTGAAACAGCAACATTCAAAATTTATACTTAGAAATAATAGAAATAAATTCAGTTCATATTAGTTTGAATTTAATAATTAATTATAATTGTGTTTTATATTTTTAGTTAATTATAAATATTTGTATTAACATTATCTGATAGTTCATCAACTGGTTTATTACCAACTACAATGAATAAACATTTTTTATAGATTTAAAATATTAATTGTTTTACAAAATAACATTACATGTACATGTAAGTAAAATGTGTGAACATATTGAGTAGATATTTTTAAGCAAATTACATATATGATATTATTATTTTAAAAATGATTAATTTGTATAAAAAAAATGCATTATTTACATTGTAGGCAATATTAAATATTGTATTTATCATAAATAATAAGGGTTAAGGTCTTCTAGAGTTTACTTAATTGAATGTAAAAGTAAAAATTGATTTTTCTTTAAAACAAAAAAATATTAAATAATAATAATAGGTAATATAGTTCTAAATTATGAATGTTATGGTAAAATAAAAATTGTTGTTTTATTGATACCATGTCATGTTATATAAAATTTAGATAAAATATAATTATATAATTACCTAATTTGTATATAATTGAAAATTTAAATAGGTATCCAAAACCAACATAAAAGCAAAACATAAGTCAAGAAGTCCTATAAATATAATATCATTATATATAATCATGTAATATCTCTTATACAATTTTCATTTAGTTTTGATTAATTTTTCCCGATAACTGGACATGTCATTATTTAATAGTTTCTATTACTTTTTACCTTACCCGAATTATTGTAACATTTTATATTATGGAAATCTGGTCATAATCTGGTAAAAATATTGATGGCTAATATCTTCACTATTATTGAAAAATGAGTACTAAACTATGATCCATTTTTTGAAACACCCACTTATTTATAATTAGTAGTTAATATCAGTAACGGCAATACGTATTTTGGGTCCCTGGGTAATAATATAAAACAAAATACTTACACTTGATATTTTGTTTTATATAATAGTTGACAATCTTTAAACACTTTTCAGATACCAATTACCAGTTAACATTAGTGATTTATTTTATTATTCCTATTTGACGATTTATTTAAAAAGATACAATTTATTAGATATTAATATATTACCAGAATTTAAACATTCTTATTACAATTAGCATATTTTTGTTCATAATTTTATTGATTGTACTTTATAAAATGTTTATAAAATGTATCTTTATATACATACATATCAGATTCACCAGTATGTATATTTTAAAAATAATTAGTTACTAAATACAATTGGTTTTAAAAAGTTATAAAGCACAAATAAGTAACAAATAACGATTATACGAGTAAACGACAGTTTGAGGATTTTCGGTTTTAGAGTTATTTTTAAACGTGATAACCTAATGGCTAATGCGTTATTGCCATATTGCCATTAACAGTTGTTATTGTTGACCGAAGTGTTTTGTATTTATATTGGTATATTTTATAATGTATTATAATTTATAGCCTATAATTGGTATTTCGAATACAAATATTAATTTTATTTTTCCCTGTATGATTACAAACCATGCACATTGGCTGCATTATTTATTTACAAAAAATTGTTCTTTAGTTGTTTGCTAAAAATTAAATTTTTTTTCTCTGCGTGCCATAAAATTATGTAAAACAAATAAGTAGACACGGGGCCCCCCAAACCACGGGATCCCGGGCATTTGCATGGAGTGCTTCTCCCTAGCGCTGGTTATTATAGTGGTATTGAATATTGATGTACACATAAATAATTCTAATCTACTATTAAAAAAAAAAATTTTCTAATATATATTTATTTATATTTTGAACAGCTCTAAAGTGGCCCTCAAAAGTTGCCATAAAAAAAAAAAGCTAATTTATATGTAACCATTATAATGATAGATATACATCAGTACCATTAATACCCATTGTCTATATTTTTAACATTAATATTATTTACTAAGTTATGTTATCAAGATTGTAATTAAAAAAAGACGTTCTAGGATAATAGAGACGGGTGCAGCAGGCGCATCCCTGAGGAGGAGGGGTGATCGTCTCCCTTATAAGCCGTGTGATCTTTTTTGTTGTACAAAATATCCATAATTCTTAAGTATAAAGAAGTACAAATGCAACTGGTTTCAAATGCCATAAAGATAATTTTGGATCTTGGAAATACTTTGATTTAAACAAGAATGAAACACTTCTCATTTATAAATTTCAATAAATATTCTCTCGAAAGTGATTTAGAACTAAGGAAAATAATCTGGGAATAATCAATTTGTAAAGATATAATAAAATAATGTATTTTTAGAATTAAAATTGAAAATAGTTAATTTAATTTAAATTTGAGATTCTGAGTATAGCGAAAAATGTATCTATTGGATTTACAATGATGTTCTTTTTTATATTGTGACAACAATTTCTACAAGAAATCTTGTTTCAATTTGTAAGTATAGCACTTTTTTTTGAAAGAAAATATTGTCATATTTACTAGATGGCACTTTAGAAAGGTCATTTTTTGATTTTTCATGCAGTTTTCTTAAAATCTGGGAAAAACCCGTATAAAACGTAAGAAAAATAGGAAAAATCATGAAAATAATAAAAGCATTATTTTCAATTTTTTTTTGTTTTAATTCAGTTAGAAATATTTGTAAAGACTTGAAATTTGAACAGAAAACTTATATTTGCCTTTTTTCTTGAATTTTTGAGCAATTTATAGATATTTTAATTTTGCAAGTTTTGTACATAATTTTCATTCGGTTGTGTTAGGTTTGCTTATCACTTAAATATTCATCAAAATAAAAACATTAATATAAAAAAATATTGTTGATCAAACCGCGTTCAAAACGCTGCTTAAAATAAAAGTATTTTGGACTTTGTCATCTAACTTTTATTAATTATTATTATTTTTTCTGTTATTCATATTATCATTATTTTAATTATTAATTATTTAATGTGAAAACATTTATATGGCTTTTAAACAGTACTGTTTTATGTATTTGTACAATATATTTGTAATCTTCTATGCTAATATAAGTTGATGTGACATCAGACATGAAGGTTTAATGTTTTTGTTAACCAAAGCGGTGGTATTTAAGAGTAAATATTGTTTTCCTCCCATCCCATAGAGTTGATCCGAAAACGTCCATAAGCAATATTACTAACCGAACTTCACTCAGAATCGTTTTTTATTGGCAATGCTTAAATTTTCTTAGGTACAGATAAACATCAAATTTCCTTTAATATCCTACCTTTCCAACTTCTCATCTATAACAGTGGTTCACCCATCGCGTCGTGCGAAGTCCTTCTTTTTCTTATCAATACTTAATATTAAATTTGATTATTTAGCCCCCCTCCCATAGTCAAGGTCTGGAGACGTACCTGAAGTTCAACCTCTGGTATAGGTAATTTAATATATATCTGTAAGCAACAATAAAACATTGCTAACAAAAAATTCTGAGCGGAGATCAGTAGATAGTGATGCTTTGTTAACAATATATACATATTTATACTATGGTAAAATAATTAAATATGCATTATATATTTTCTTTAATAATACTTGTTTAATATTTTACCGATTTTCCTTTATTCCCCTTGTTTTTCACATTTGCTTAGAAAATTCTTGGAAAAATCGAAAAATAACCTGTTTAAAGAACCTTCCCAGTCAGATTTATTTTCAGAAAAAGTGCTATCATTGTAAATCGGAGCAAAATTGCTGGTAGAAAAGTTTTCTACAAAAAAAAATATCCAGAAATGTATAGATGTACATTAAATTCCCGCCTGTATCCAACCTACCCTACTTCCCACCTACAACAGTGTCTGCACGGGGGTGTATACACGGGGAAATTTTCCCGTTTTTTTTCGGTTTTTCGCATTTAATAAGAAAACTCTTGAGGAAATTGAAAAACGACCTTCCTATTGCAGCAACTAGAATTATCAATCTTTTAGAAAAAATGCTACACTAAATACATCGAATCAAGATTTCTGGTAGAAAAACTGCTCAGACATAAAAAATATAAAAAATAAAATATACATCATAATAGTTAAACCAATAGATTTGCTCCGAATCAAAAAGAGCGATAATTTTGTAAACATTTTTCAGAGTTCAGTGCATTAAAACACATATTAAGAAAAAAATAAATAAATCAAAAACCGAGCAATGATACTAAACTGCATTTATGCCAAATATTTTTTAGATTAACCATATTTGGGTTTAAAAATTATAATTGAATTACTTAATCAAAATGTGAATATATCCATTATCGAAGTATAGATTTTAGGTACCAAATCTTGGCCAGAAGTGATAAACAAACAGTACCTACTGGCTACTGCCTGTAATTTAAATGTCCAGAGTTCGAGATTGTGTGCATGGGAGTAGGTATGCAATTCTGACAAGTTAGTCTGTGAAACTAAATAGATAATATAATATGGTATCTTAGAATACAATGATCTACAAAATACTAAAAAGTCGAATCATCAAACGAAGTTTATCTTTACCTAAGAACGTTTTTGACCTCGGTCAGGAAATACGACACACAAAGGAATCACAGGATTTGTAGGAAATCTTGTAAGGAAGCAGAAAAAACTATAATATATAATATATAATTGATATAATTAATATTATGTATAATATACTTACGAGTTAGTGCAGACGGAATGTTAGCAAGAGTGTTGAAGTGTGAAGGCAGAGTGTAATACTGAAATGAACTGAAATGAAGGAGGTATGGGGGAGTTATTGATTGGTAGATATCCGGGATACAACGGGATACGATGGACAGATGGTTGACCATGACACAATTAATAACAGTGGTACCAACGTCATTGGTAACTTTTATAGTAGGTACCAATATACTTCATGATATATATGTGTAATATACGTAATATATATGCATGCTTATGTCACGATACACGCATAGAGGTCAGAAGTTTTGCATACTCCAATCAATAAAGCCAAGCTCCACCCTATATGTTATGTGGGAACTTTTCACAAATAATGTTCGGAAATATTCATGCATATTAATTCATTTCAATAATACTTCAGAACGAAAATTTAATAAATAGGTACTCATGGGAGACAAAAAAAAAAGAAAAAATGTAGGTTGTTCTATCTGTAATTTAAAATATATATTTCAAAGTAGACTTTTCTTAATAAATTACTAATCACTAATTAGATACATAATTTCTCGTTCCCAATTACTTATTAATTTAATTATGAATAGATAATATGCTTGGTATTTAATTAATGACTAGGGTGGTACATAGTTAATTTATTATTATTACTTATATTTCTGCTTTACCTAGAATTATTTGCTGTGGCCCCAAAGATCATTAAATGTCATTTATTGATAATTTAGAAACATTGTTTTCTGAGGCAAGTTTATTTGACATATATGTATTTTGCATTGGTGATATTTTTGTAGACGATAAATTATGCGAAGAAGAATGGGAACGATTTATCAAGTTCGATAAAACCAGTCAGAAAATTATATTTTTTAAATTTAATTTGATAGATAATTAATTAATTTAATTTTTCTTTTAAAGTTTCAGGACCTGTTTACACATTAGGTAACACCAAATGAAAATTTTTTTAAAAATGTAATTTATATTGATCCATCTAGTTATACTCGTACTTATATCATACCTACTTTTATTTATCAGGTCATTATGGGGTATTCACTACATCGAATGGTGTTGAAATTGGTTTCATCGATGGAATCCAAAATAATAGATTTAATAATGATATTCATAACTTTAACTATAATTTAATTGTTGAATTGAAAGACAATTGCGTACAGGCTCTTAGAAGGCAATTTGGATATAATTTTAACATCTCCATGGCCATAGATGTGTTTCTATCAAGAAGATGAATTTAATTTTTTAGTAGGCATAAACTTTAATTTGAATACTTATGGATAGTATATATTAAACCTAATTTAGCATAATCTGTTTGTTTAGAATAAAATTATAGAGAAATTATACAGAAAAGGTTGCATATCTCTATTCTTGTCTTGGATTGGCATTAATTTATCATCGTTCATCACATTATTATTTTGCTAAGATGAAAGAAATATTGCATTATCAATGGTTTCCTTATAGGTAAATATTACCTTTGTGATTTGTTTACAATTTGAAAACAATCATTTTTGTTTTTGTTTTTGTTTTTAAAGAAATCCCATAAATAATAAACTTAAATAGTTTGTTGGTTTGAATGATTATTGAGACACAGGAAAAATATCATATTGGATATATAACATTTTGATGACACCAGATAAAACTGTGTGACTGGTAATGCAGAGAGGAAACACAGGCCAAGATGAACAATGAAGTTATGTAGTAGATTTAGACAATAGTTTATTTAGGTCATGAGGATCTAAAAATATACCTAGGAAACTGTCTGATTTTTCAAAAATTATTAAATTACTGTCCCAACTATATAGTTCAGATACTTTTGAGATTGTCTCTTCATTTTCTAGAGCATCTAATTTACTTTTGAGATAATCCCTTATTGCTGAAGCCACTTGTCTGGGTAGTCTTACCATTAGTGTCATTTCTTTATTAATTTTTAACTTTACAGCATTCTTACAATGTCCTATACATTTAAACTTTGTTTTTGCTTATACATTTTTGTTAATTCTCAATAAAAATAGTTTGACTTTAACAATTTGAGCAACCATACAGTTATTCCTTTTAGTAAGATCTAATAAAATAAATCCATTCAAACCTATTATTAGCTTATTTCATATATTATTATCTACTACAACAAACTCAATGCATTACTTTTATTACTAACTTCCTATTTGATTATTAATACAAATAATTTTAATTGTTTGACCACAAAAACCACTGTTAACTTGTCCATTTTGATAATGACTGGGTATATTTTGAAAACTATAACCCCTATTAAAATGGTAAGCATGCTTAACCATGTAATATTAATTATGTCAGCTAAAAACCATCTATAAATGGTTGTGGAATTTTTTTGAGTATTATGTCATTAAAATATTTTTCGGTTTCGTGAATTTATTTTGTTACGTGGAAATTATAAATTTCCTCGATCTAATTTTGATTTAAAATTTCGGTCAAGTTTGAAAAAACATATTTTATTTTTTATTTTCATGGTTTAATTTTAATGATTTAATTTTAGTCCATGATTCTGGTACCCTATGATATTCTTTTAATCGAATATGTATTTAAATTATTTGTTTCACACGAGTACATTTTCGGTATTAAAACAATATCATTTATTAATAGTTCATAGTTACAAGGAAAGGTTATCTTTATTAACCCTTGGTGACTGTAAATTAATTAAAGTTCTTTTTTGATTATTAAAGTTTACTTTTGATTTTATTAACCTTGATGGAATTTTATGTAGTTTACAGTGTAAATGAATATTAGTATTTCTTTCAGATTTGTAAATATTAGGATTACTGACATTAAATTGTATATTATTTCTTGGACACTTTTAATAGTATTTTCCTGATTTTTTTTTCTTATAAGTTATTTATTTTTCTTCTTTTATAAACTTTGAAAAACTATCCCTCAGTGATTTCATACTGTTTTTAGTGTTTTTTTTTTTTATGTATTCAGTTCTGTTGTTAAGTTTATTAGATCTTTATGGTCTGACACAAAAGTATTTTTAAATTTGTTAATTTATTGATCTAACATTTCTTCATTAGTATAAAAGGATTTTAATTGTTTTTCAGTTGTGACATTATATTTCCCAAAATTCCTAAAAAATTGAATCATTTTTAAAAAAACCTCTTTTATATCTATTGTTTAGTTTATTTTTATTTAATTTATCTAACATTTGTGTATCGCTTTCTTTAAGGTTTTATTTATGGCAATTAATATATCTAGAGTTCGGTTAGTAATTTTGCAGTAGTTGGTGTTTTTTTTTTCTCAGTTATTTTCAACCACCCACTTATTTTTTATGTTTTCCGAATTGTCATCTGGTTCGTCGTCTTGCAATTCCTGTGTGTAGATTAGAAGAATGCTTTTGTCGTATAATATGACCTCTGGTACCTCGTCAAAAAAAGCTCTGGGAGATACACTTACAGCTATATCTTCTTCAGCGATAGAGTTGATGAGTACGGAAGCGACTGTGAGGATTTTAAAAAACATCTAGAACCAAAGATTGTATTAAAAATGCATCATATATAATTTGCAAGAAGAATATATATGATTAATATATTTTATTTATAATTCTATGTTCGATACTTCTATTTCATTGAAAGGTTTTATTCTTTGTATGGTATCTATGGTTATTTTCCCATTTAAAATTAATTTTATTTTGTAGTTAACGTCAAAAAATTGTTCAATAATAATAAATGGGCCTCTAAATTTATTTGCTAGTTTCCTTGCTTTGTCTTTTTTGTTTAAATTTAGTTTTATTAGACTTTTTGTTCTGGGTTAAAATTAATATTTTGTGATTTATGTCGTATTGTTTTTTTTTTTAAACAGCTTGTTCTTTTTCAACAATTTTGGGCATGGTGTCTTTAATATTTTGAAGTTGCCTTAGGTCGTTTGAAAAGTCAAACAATTCGTCCTCGGTGGTTAATTTTTTATCTATAGGTTGGTTTGCTTCTATAACGTGAAGTAAATAAAATGCACTTACTTTTAATCTCGAATTTGGGCTTATGTTATAAGCGAAAATTATCAATTTGTAATATAATGACCAGTCTTTTTGATTTTCGTTTACGTGATGTAATAAACTGTTACAAATAATTTTGTTCATAAGTTCGGTCATACCATTTGTTTGTGGATGATAAGCGCCAGAGAAAATGTGTGCAATGCTTAATTTTTTACACGCTAAATTTACCTCTTTGTTTTTGAAATGAATGCTCCTATCGCTACGAAAGTATTTGGGTACCCCGTAGGATGTAATTAAGTCCATTAGAAAACTTATTGTTGCTGTTCCGTTAGCATTTGTAACTGACTTTGAGAAAGCCATTTGTGTAGCGTTACAAGTAGCTACAATATGGTATTTTTTTCCTTTAGAAATAGGTAATAGCCCTTAGTCAAAAGTTAGTCTTTGTAATGGTTTTCCTGAAACTAAAGGTATTGGTTGTAGTGAATCGTGTATCTGTGTACCGTGTTGGTTTTTTTATCATTTGATAAGAAATTCATGTTTTTATACAATTTGCAGTTTTTTAAATTATTGTGGGCCAATGATATTTTTGTTTTAGTCTAGCTAAATTTTCGACTTGCTGACTAATTTCCTCTATCGCTTCTACAAAATGTTTTGCCACCTCGGTCTCTTCTTCATTTCCTCAGTAAATAATCGGCTCGGTAGGTATTTCAAATTCTTCTAATAATCCGGTTGGGACATCGTCGGCCGCCTTTACAAAAATCCCATACGACATCTCTCTATGGTTTTGGATTACGCTAGTACTGCTTTCTTTCTTCTCATCCGTCTTCTCCAATATCGCCTCAAAATCAGCGTATATGATGATGGGATGTCTTTAGGTTTTTCCATACTCATCGAAATTTGAATAAATCCTGTCTATTTAATAGGACGCGGCAGCCAGTCACGGTTTTTGATTCTATTACAAGAACGTTTTCTTTTTTGTACACACAACGCGATAACTTGAATATTGCTGTTTCCAGAAATATATGTAACTTGTATTTCGGCGTGTCGAGTATGTTTGATAGGATTTCGTCCATCAGTGAAAATATTTGCGATAGAACATCCGGTGTTAGGTTGACGTATCGTGACGGAGTTATTATCTGAACTTTGACAGTGAACGTGTCTGTTAGATTGATACCTATATTCACGAACTTACGTTCTGTGAAGCTCAGAGTATAGTTATTGCAGTCGATAAGATCCGGAGGTGATGCTGGTGTGACGTATTCGTACTTTTTGAATGACATATTTAATCACTTGTAAACATTTTTCAAACACTGAAAATGTCTAGTCATAAAAATGAACACTGGACAACGACGACGACGATGACAACGACTTGCTTCTACGACTGTGGCACGGATAATGATTTAGGCGTCCACATAAAAGTAGTTTAACGAGATCAAATATATACAAATTTGGTGTGGGGCTAAGAGACCAACTCATACAGGATCGTACAGGATCTTATAGGCAAGAAACACAATGCGTGCTGCTGTCAATATATATATATGTGTGTATACATTTTTTTCGTTCTCGGAGAGGGATCGGCTATATGTATATTATAGACGGCGGAAGATATGTGTGTGTATATGCATATACGGATGTAGGTATGTGTGTGTGTGTTTGTAGGTATATGTATAAGTTTATGTGTGTAGGTATGTGAAGAGGGTCGACGGGTAGGGAAAGGCGATAGTAGTATTTGGTGATAACAGTGTGGAAAAAAAAAGGGGAGGGGTAGTCTAAATAGGTCGAGTACGTGTTGCATGTAAGAAAAAAGAAACATTCCAACATATTTTATAGTAAAAATAATCTAAATTATAAATCACAATCAATTTTAGATTTGGAGCTCCAAATCTATTGGTTTTACTTTGCGTATTTTAATTTTTTTTTTGTATCTGTAAACAACTTACCAGAAATGATGCCCCAAAGTAAAAAGTACAGTATTTTTTCTAAAAATAAATTTTTTTTAGTTGGTATATTAGACAGGCAATTTTTTAATTTTCTAAGGGGTTTTCAAAATAATTGTGAAAAATCCGAAAGAAAACTAGAAGTAAAACAGTATAATATTTACGACGCACTACGACGTTACAGATTTAATTGTTTTTAATTTTTGTAACTTATGTTTTCTATCAGAAATATTAATCCAATTGAAAAATGACAAATAATCGATTTTGGTCCATTTAATATCAAGCCACTGTCGGAGAAAGTTATTTTTCGATATCCAAAGTAGTTTTCAAATAATTAAGAAAAACCAAAAAAAGACGTTTTTTTTTTTCAAATTATGGTGCAACAATTTCATTATTTAAAATTGTTAAGATTATATTTTTCTAACAAAAATCTTTGTCCAAATTTTAAAAATAACGTATTTTCAGAAAGAAATTTTTTATAGTTTATTAGTAAAAAATACGTTTGATTTTCGTATAGTTTATTAATAATTACGAAAAACCGGGAAAAAATGTTGAAATTCTGCAAAGTGTACGGCATTTATTCAGTTAAAAATGTTGTAAAAACATGTAATTTTTACAAAATACTTATATTCGCCTTTTGTAAACGTGGTAAAATTTTTAAACATTCTAGATTTTTTAAATTATTTATAAGTAGGTATTTGTTATTTTCGTATTTTATATATATTTTCATTCGGTAGGTAACTGTTATTAAAACTATATGATTTAAGACAAATGTTTGAAGATTTAACACAAGGTATATTATTAGTTGTTAATGGTTTAAAAACAAATTTGAGTTTAATGCATTAGTTTTTTTTTTTCGTAAAAGTTTTGAGATCAAAATTTGTCGAATATCGTAAAAATTACAGTATTTCAAAAATGTCTACCAGAAATCTTGCTTCAATATGGTAGTGTAGCACCTTTTTTAAAAGAAAATATTGGCATATTAACTAGATGGTACTTTAGGTAGGTTATTTTATATTTTCCAAGCAGTTTTCATGAAATCTGGAAAAAAAACCCGTATAACACGTAAGAAAAACGGACAAAATTATGAAAAAAATGCTTTTATTATTTTAAATTTTGTTTTTTATTGTAATTCAGTTTAAAATATTTGTAGAAACTTGAAATTTAAACAAAAAAGTTATATTTGCCTTTTCTTTTCTTGAATATTTGAGCAATTAATAGACATTTTAATTATGCGAGTTTTGTACGTAATTTGTATTCGGTTAGGTTAGGATTGCTTATTACTTTTAAATATTCATCGAACTAAAAACATTAATATAGAGAATATTGTTGTTTAAACCGCTTGCAAAACGTTGCTTAAAATAAAAGTATTTTAGACTTGGTCATCTAACATTAATAATTATTATTTTTATTTTTGTTATTCATATTATCATTCTTTTAATTATTATTTATTCAATGTGAAAAAAATTAATTTGAATTTTAAATTGTATTGTTTTGTTGCATTTGTACAATATATCTACAACCTATTGACCTATTGTGTAAAAACGAATAATACAAATTCCCGATTAAATCGCGGTGTCATCAATTCATGCAATTTAATAGAATATAACTGTTGAATTTTTCCTATTATTGAAACACGTTTTGGACTCTGATTGTACATAATAAAGAATATGTTATAAATTATATATTTCTACGTGGTTTTTTTTTTTATACATATAAAACCTAACGTTGGGTTGACGAGGTGCATTGACACCCCGTGGTCTAAAGAGAAATCATTCTCACAAGGTCACGATAATACAATGTGTAAAACTATATTTTAGATTCTGAGTGGATCGAAGAAGCTTATGGTTTTACATAGATGTTTATTTTTTTTCTGTCGACAACTTTTCTACCAGAAATCTTGCTCAGATTTTTAAATGTAGCACATTTTCATAAAGTAAATCGGACCAGGGAAATACTTTACAGAGGTAATTTTTTAAATCTTTAAATTTCTTAGTAGTTTTCTCGATAAATGGGAAAACCTGGAAAAACGTAGGAAAAATGAAAATGGGAAAATAGGTACAATATTAAATAAATATTATTAAAGAAATTATATAATGCCTATGTAATTATTTTATCATAATATGACATGGATATATATATATAAATTGTTAATAAAGCAACACTATAAACTGAACACCGCTCAGAATCGTTTTTTCGTTAGCATTGATTTATTGTTGCTTTTGGATATACATTCAATTTCCCCTCTACTGCCTTCCCAACTTCTCACCTAAAACAGTGGCCCACCCAAGTGCAAAATATCTGCGTCTTTTATTATTATATACCCTACTAGGTATTCCAATAACAATAGATCAATGTATGTTGCGGAAACCGGAAACGGCATATTATAACCATGAAGGGCACGATCCCGAGATGTATCTATTTTAACGTAATGTTTTTATAATAAACATGATTTGTAGTCGGTATTTGAATTATTACACATTAAAAGTAATAATTTTTAATAATATATACTAAAATAGTGTGTAAAACTTTAAAATACAGCGTAACTTAAATTTTAAGTAAAAAAAAATATTGGGGGGACGGGTGTGGTCACTGTTATCAATGGGTAGTGTGGGAGGTGAGATACATAAAGTTATTTAATTTATACCTATAACCAAAGGTAAACCATTTACTAAGAAAAACGATTCGAAGCGAAGTTCGGTTATACGACAGTATATCTATAAGCAACGATAAACCATTGCTTACGAAAAAACGATTTTGAGCGGAGTTCAGTCGATAGTGATGATTTGTTAACAATATATATGTAATTTTATAATAAAAAAAAAATCATAAAATAGGCTTTATATATTTCTTTTGATAAAATTTGTTCAATGTTGTACAGATTTTCCCAATTTTTCTACGTTTTTCCCGGTTTTCCCATGTTTTATCCCGGTTTTTCATACTTACTGGGAAAACTCTTGGTGAAATCAAAAAATGACATCCTTAAAGTACCTTCCCACGCAAATTTCCTTTCAGAAAAGGTGCTACATGCAGAAATCCAAGCAAGTCTTCTGGTAGGAAAGTTATACACAGATAAAAAAAAAAAATAAACACCTTTTTAAAACCATAAGCTTCTTTGCTCCATTCAGAATCTAATATAATAATTTATAGTTGATTATAAAATAAATAATAATGAAAACAAAATACAAATAATTATTATAAATAAATAATATTTATGCAAAATAATATATGTTATACAATATGCATATAAATTTAATGTTAAAATAACAATACACACGTGAATTTTGCTATTTCACACTTACATTTTTGCTAGGTATTTTATAATAATATTAAATAATAAGAAATATTATTTAGAGTTTGTTCATTAAAGGCTATACCTAGTTCTTATATGGGCTGGGCACCACTAATAATAATTCGGTGCCATAGATATATATCAATAGATATTATATTAGTAGATAGATATATACCAATAGATAATATATTAATACATGTATATTATACATACGTATATAATATATCAATAAAATATACATATAGACTTATACTTTTTTTATTTTCGGCACCTAGGTTTTATCGCATTTTGACGGTCATACCTTTGTTTGTATCAAAGACGTCGCCAAAATGTTAGAAAAATATCCAGTACGACAGTAGTGGTGCGAAACTAAGTAAAAACAAAAAATAGCGTAGTAGCCACTAACGTATAGTAACAGGAAAACGAGTTGTACCATTGAAAAACCGTGCTAATTTGTGTTAATCCATCGGCCAGCTCTACAGGCCAAACAGCTGAACATATAAGGTCATATATGAAGTATTAGTCGATTAAAAATATTGTACAGACGGGAACAAGGGAACTCGAAAGCAGATATTGGTTAGATGGATTAAAAGTTACAACTGAAAATATTCAAGTACTTTCAAGTCCGATTTTTCGTATTTAACGAAAATATCGTAAAATATCTACTTTCGTTGGCTGCGACGCGGCGAAGACAACGTAAAATATAATTATCCTCCGATCCGCCGCTTATCCATCCCACTACTTTCGTTGCTGCGGCAACGACGACGCCGGAACCTGTGTTATTAAGTTTATATTTACAACCAATTTTAAATTCAAAATTCATTTTCGGGTTTATTAAAGACAAAGAACATCGTGACTTTTTTTTTTTTATAAAAAATAGCTGATATCACACTAAAAACTCCTTGTTATAACTCTGTGGAAAAAAAAAATCAAATTTAGTAATGATTAAATCTTTAAAAGATGTGATATAATATGGAAACTAAGTAAAATACCATTTTATAATATTACAAATACCTATGATGACAAATAAGATAAATTGTAAAGTTAAATACTTAGTCAACATATTGTTTAACTACTTGGCAGGACGTGTAAGTATATTTAAATAAATACAAATAAGTAACCACTATAGTTAATAAATTTTGTACAACAATATGTTGACTAAGTATTTAACTTTACAATTGATCTTATTTGTCGTCATAGGTATTTGTAATATTATAAAATGGTATTTTATTTAGTTTACATATTATATCATGTCTTTACAAGATTTAATCATTACTAAATTTAATTTTTTTTTAACTTAGCTTTGTTTTACACGGAGTTATAACGAAGTGTTTTTGGTGTGATAATTTTACTTGTAAAAGAATTATTGTATGAATGAAATGTGCTGAAACAACGACCGATATTCGAATAAATTATATTTTGTTACTTAAATTATGCGAATTAAATCATCGAACTATTTTTAATTACATAAACTAATTATTTATTATTTATTATATAAGTAAATTATTTTCTAGGT